TCGCTCTTTCCTCAATAACTTCTAAGAGTTGTGAGTTGTGACAGGAAAAGGAAGAAAGACAGGCGCCTAGCAATCGCCACCATCGCCACATTCGTTTGTACGACGCCCGTACGGCGACCGTACCTGGGCACAGGAAGGACGAGGCGGGCTCCGTCCAGTACTCTCCCAGGTCCACCAACGCCTGTGCTTCCAGGCCCACAATACGTGCCCAGGTACACACGGAGCCAGTTCCGCCACCGCCCTCCCCGCCCCGGGAGCCCAAACTGCCGCTGGATCGCTGCTGTCCTGCCCCCCCCCCCGCCCCCGGCCCCCCTGCTGCTCCTGCTGCCGGGTTAGTGCTGTCGTTCATCCTGAGAGGAAAAAGATGAGCAGCAGGGAAGGAGGGAGCGCCTGAATAGGAAACGGGCGAAGGTACTGCCCACGTGACAATCCCCCCCTGTTGAGCTGTCGAGCAAGAACGTTGACGAGGGTGTTAACAAGCGAGGGAGATGTCCGCGCGCAAAAAGACTCTCTCTCTCATCTTTGCTAGATACGGCGCAAGAATCGCTCAGCCGGGCGTATGCGCACCGGCGGGCCAGGCTGGACTGGGCTGCAGCGGCAGCGGTGGCTGTGGCGGCAGCAGGCGCCACCAGGGCCAGAATCGTGCAAAATCGGGGGGAAGGGGGATTTTCGGGGGAGACCAGGAGCCGGAAGGGGGCCGCCCAGAGAGCGGCGTGGTGAGCTGGGAAGACGGGGCCTAGGACGGGAGTGTGGTGGGGATGGGCGACGGAGAGGCGCGAAAATCCCCTGAAGCCGCATCTGTGATACAAGTCCTGACATTTTGGGGTATCTTTCAGAGCGATCCACACGGAAATGGAAATCGATGGACCCAAACGGAGCCTGACACCACCGCTGGAAGGGACTTACTCACAAACAAGTTCGCCTTGCGCGCCCGGGTAGTGGGCAGTCATTGGGGCGGACGCGCTTGCGAACAAGGCCAGCGTGTCGAGCAGGAGCTGGAGCTGCAGCCCGAACTCATGGCGCACCTCGGCGCCGCACACGAAGCGGGAGAAGAGCTGTTGATGATGAGTGGGTATGGGGAAATATGGGGCGTTGCGGAGGGCCCGGGCGCGCGGGGGGCTGCGTGAAGTTGTGAAGTGCGCTGAGGCGGTTCAAGCCATCGGAACGTCAACGGTGTTCACCCGGTTCGATTTTACAGTTACGATGCCGATTTGCGATATTTTTTCCATAGTGTTGCACGCACCTCAGGCTTTAAGAAGACTGAACCTTGAAGAGCTTTGGATTCGTCTTCCCACACGACGCTCACACCGCTTGCCGAGATGGACATAGTGCATGTCTGCGAGTTTTCCAAACATCATGAATTTGGCTATTATACGCAGGATTAGGTGCCTTTGGTTCGGAAGAGATCGCTTGCCTGCCTGTTTCCCGCGCGAATGCAGTGCAGGATTGCTGCGAAGCTCCGCACGTTGGAAATTCCCATGACAACCCTTTCTTCATTCTGCAAGTTTTGTCCTACATTTGTAGGTTCGGTCATGATTTATAGGGTTGCCGAAAACTATTTTAAATGCCCACTGCCAGCCGCACTCAGTAATATACCCAGCTATACACAGCAATTTTAACAATAGTAAAGCACTGGATATCAAAGCGAGGAGTCTCACCTCTTGCCACGTTGCGCTCCCAAGCAATGGGTAATGGTAGTTTTAATTGACCGATAGGTACGGTAGCTAGGTTTACGACCCAGCCAATGCCGCACGGGATGGTGCCTTCAATCACCCGACTTGGGCCTAGTAATGCGCTTGGAGTGGCTGCAATCGCTCTTTTGGGCAAGGAGCGGATTCCGAAGTGAAATCTCTGGTGCAACCAGCAGTTGCTAGCATCTAGGTTGGAACCCGGGACATCCTATCGTCGTACATGTCGAGCAGCGCCGCATGAAAGAGCCAGGCTATGTCCTGGTTGCCGTCTTACGGGCCACCGTGGCCCATCAGTTGAACTCCCACTGGCATCCCATCCTTACACGGCTTTCTGTTGCGTACGGCACGCATGGCGCATGCGTGTCGCGCCAGGTGCCACAGGCCGCGCTACGTGCGCGTACCCATAATGGCACATGCATGCTGCCCAAAAAACTATAACAACCCGGTATGTGTTCGAGGGCCTTGAATTCTCACGTGCTGGACGAAAAAACCACGGTACGCATCACACCTGCAATGTGACCGGGCAGAAGTCGCTACAGGGTGAAAGCAGAAAACAACGCACTGATTGAAGAGCGGCGTTCGCAGGGAGGCGTTTGTGATTTCCCCCGAACTGAGCGACCGGAGGGGTAAAGGCAAGCAAGGATATGACGGGGAATGTTTAAGGGTAGAGGGTGTGTAACAAATACATCTACCAGCTACCAACCATTACAGTTGTGTCGTCCAACTGAAAAGGTATATAAAAAATGTTGCTTCGATCATGCATAACATACATACACAATTACTCCTCGAATGACCTACATGATCCTTCCGAGGGTAAAAAGGGGGGATATGAACGTGCTGAGCTATTGGACCTCCCACAGAACCTCTCTGCGCCAAACACTTCCCCCTAAAACAACTTCCTTCGAGTGTGCTTTCCATGACGAGCGCACACATCAGCGCGTTCTCAAATTGTTACCGAGCTCAACGAAAATGCAGAGCAGCAAACCTTGTGTGATGCTGCAGTGCTTGTTCTTGTCCTTCTTGTGAGATTGATCAGTTTAAGCAGCGTTATGAAAGCCTACGCACGCGCATATTCTTTACTCTTCAGGTACACATCAATCAAGAAAGCAGCGGTGGCGACGGACCAACCGACTAACACCACCGGCCCGCCAACACAACCTCAACATGCAGGGATCACGCTCTGCGCCCACACTTTCCATCGCCTCCTCCTCCAGACACCTGTATAGCGCAACAGAGCGCAACGCAAAAGAAACAACACGCCTCTGGCCCCAATACCGTAGCTGTTCATCATACCCTTGACCGAAATAAATGGCAATGCAACGCTCATCGTCCAATATCTTTGCAGGCGCCCGGTCGCATCCACTTCCATAGGAGAACTGATGCTTGGTTGTAACCGGGCATCATCCAATTTAACATACCGATCGTGGGGCATCACATGCAGAGAGCAACCGCAGCGCAACTCGCTTCGTTCTTCCGTATATGAACGGGCATAACGGCAGCGAAGCCGAACCTCTTGGCGGATGCTTTTGCTCAGCAGCAACAGTATCATCTTGCCAGCTAGCCAGCACTTTCACTTATTAGCTGCGGCCGGCGACAGGTACATCCCACAATACGCAGATTAACACCCGCAAGGACAAAGCTAAAAAGCATTCAAGCAGCAAAACAGCACGTGCTAAATGCAGGGCGGGGGAAAGGCTGCCTTCCAGACACCACTGCGGCAGCGGGATACACGACCAATACACATGTGCCCGGGGGGGAAGCTGGTGGTTCCGGCCAGCGCAGATTGTGTGCGCCTGCTAAATACTCGTACTACTGCCACACAACAACAGGCGACCGGCCAGCCGCGGCGCAGAACAACAAGGCGTACGTCACACCTTGATGCCATTGCACGACACAGCACACAGCACGGCCCGGTCCAACACAGCACACACTGCTCGCGCTTCACACGCGGCAAAGTGACCCATGGGTGGAGAGAAAATATCCCATCACATAGCTTCATTTAGAGAGCTCCGCATTTTTAAACACATTTTTAAAATATCGACACATCATCATCAAACCCTTAAGGGTCGCTGCACTTGCGAAATTACTTTCATTTAAAATATACAAACACGACGACATGAGAGAGCAAAAGCTTCATCGCTACATGCCCCAGGCCCCCCCCGCCGGGGCCATCGGTAGGAAGCGGGTCAGCGCATCACAACTCTTTCCCTAGCACAAGGCCGCAAAGACACAGGCTCACCCCCTCCCCGCAGTCCCAAGACTCCCTCGCCTTCGGCCCGCCGGCCTGCACCAGAAAGTCTGCGCCGTAGCCGTAGCCGGGGGGCCGACCCACACGGTGAACGACAGCATGCACCGAACACCCCCCTCACCGACACGCTCCCTGCGCGCCCACAGCCCTTTAGATCCGAGAAGCACTTGATTGCTCATTGAATTGCTGGTGGGCTAGTTGGCTAGTATTTGCAACGGCGATGGAAACATCTGCTGCATGCACCTGCACCTGATAATTACGTCGGACCCCCCGCCTGTACATATACCCACGGCAGCATACACATTTTACCCCCAACTCAACCTGGTTTCCTCCGCCTAGGCTGCTTTCCGGTTGCAGGCTGGAGTGAGTGGGACACTGAGCGCCTGCCCCCGTTCCTTAACCCCCAAGGGAACATGAAGAGGATAACCTACTTCCGCCGCTTCCAAGCCGCCGGAATTTCACCACGTCGCTCCGACTGTAAATCGCCAGGAACGGGAGCAGTACTGATATCATAACACGATCTTCATCATCATCATCATCATCATCATCATCACCGCCATCACCAACACCATTTCCAGGGAGCAGAGCGCCCACACGGGGAACGTACTGCCTTTCCTACCCCGGATCCACCCATCATCCGTACAACATCCGTACAACATCGGTACATCCTTTCAACCCAAATCCATTCCCCATTGCTTTGCTTTTAGCCAATAATCAGGCGCATCCGTCGCCAGAGCAAACAACACAGATTACTACTTACACCTGGCGCATCAGCGTTCCAAGAGAATGCGTATTTAGGCATCGTTTAGGAGAAAATGAACCACAAGTTTTAGAAAGGCATAGTAGTCAAAGCACGCACTTCGACTTTGTCATGGAAGGCCTTGTCATTTGCTATGCATGGCAGCGCAGTAGTACTAATAGTAGCAGCAGCAGCAGCAGCAGCGGCAGTGGTAGTTTAAGTGTTACCAGTAGAAACGTCACAGCGTGTCAGCAGCAACAGCAACATATGCAACGCAGCAACAGCAGCTTCAACTCCAACAGGGCTGCTGGCGCCGGTCTCTTTAAGTGTGGCTTAGGACGGTTGTTATAAGGCCTTTCGCAGCTTCCACTTGCACCTCAGAACCTGTGACGACCAAGTTGAACAGCCCTGGTGCCCCGGGGGAGATGTGCAGCTGGGCCCCGCTAACCGTCTGGACACTGAAGAGGTGCGCATTGAGCAGAGTCAGCTGAGTTTGGTTGAGCGTCATAGACTGTGCGATGTGTTGATGTTGATGATGTTGCTGTTGTTGCTGCTGCTGGTGTTGTTGCTGCTGGTGATGATGATGATGGTGCTGCTGCGTCGCCGCCACCGCTGCCGCCGCCTGCTGTGCGGCGCCTAGCACGTCCAGCTGCTGTACGGCAGCCGCCGCGGCGGCGGCGTTCTGCTGAAGCGTCTGAGTCATGGAGAAGTCGCCCAATATCGTGTCACCTGTGCGAGTTGCGCGCAGTGCGCAGAGGTGTGTAAATTTGAAATAGATGTTAGGCACTGCTAAAAGAGATCGCAGTAGTACAGGAAGACGGGGTTTAAGATAAGCGCGGCGCAACTCCCATTGGCCCCCCTGCTTCCCTCTTACTCCCGCATCCGGCCCCTGGCTTCAAACACATGTGTGGGGGCATGACAGCGCCTCGATACGTCATCCTCTACAGCGCCAGGGAGGTAAGTCGTGGTCACAAGCACCGCCCCGGCACCGTCCCAGCCTCTTCATACCCCGCATACCATCGCAACCCTTCTCAACCCTCAGAGAGAGATCTCGTCAGCACTGTCCCACAACCCGTCCAGAACTCACCAACCCGTTCCACTCAACCCACCCTTACCTGCCCCGAAAGCGTCGTACATCGTGGACGACGTCGTCTGGAGTCCAAACTGGCCCGCCAAACTTGCCAGCGGCCGGTAAGTCGGCATATTGCCCATGCCGACGCCGATGCCACCCAGTCCTCCCGCCAAGCCACCACATGCACTCGCCTGCTGATCCTGCGGGCTGCCTGCGGCAGTAGCCGCCGCCAACTGAGCCGCCAGGCTGTTCGCGTCGGTTGTAAGCTGCAGCGCCTCCAGACCGGACAATCCCACCAGGTGGTGGTGCGTGTGGTGCTCGTGGTGGGAGTGTGAGCCAGCAGCGGGTTGAGTTGTGAGCTTGTAAAAGGGCTGGGTGGTGGCAACCGTGGTGGAGGAGTTGGAGGTGGGGCCGCCCTGCGCCGTCGACAGCTGCATGGCGGATGCGGCAGAACGGGGTGCATCGGCGCCGAGGATAACAGAGCGGGCGTGAGGTCAGGAGGCCCACGGGGATGTGTAGCAGCAAGGCAGCAACAGAGGTACGGGTATGGACAGGAAACAGAGGAGCAGCCGCAGCCGCAGCAGCAAAGCAAGGCACCGGAGCTGACCGTGCGGGAGCTCAAGTGAACAGCGACAACACCACCCGACTCCATATGTCATCACCACCATGGGTATCCAATCCCACTGCGAACCAAGCCACAAGCCACCAGCACCAATACCATTCACATCATTGGCTTCCACCCCTCCTCCACCCCCTCCTCCTCTTCCCCTCCTCCTCCACTCACCTGCAGTAGAGGCACCGCATGTTTGAGCGGCTTGGCACGTGTCTTGGCCCGCCGAACCACCAGCGGCCGGTCCTGGTCGCCCGAGGGGTCCGGCAGCACGTGACGGAAATTGAACTGCAGGATGGCGCGTTCGGCGTCCGGACGCGTGGCGTACCACACAAAGGCCGAGCCCTTCGACTCGCGCGTCACCTTGTCGTGCACAATAACCAGCTCCACAACCTGCAAGACGGCCCGCACAACTGTTTAACGGACAAAACGTGTTCACGAAAGGACACTGGCCAAAAGTTTGCAAGCTAGGGCGCTACACAGCAAAAACTACCGCTGGCAGCGACATTAGCAATACCAGTAGCAGCAGCAGCAGCAGCCCGCAGCAGACGCAGCGACAACTCCAGCAGCAACCTACCTTGCCAATGGACTGAAACAACGGCAGCAGCTGCTCCTCCGTGCAGCACTTGGGCACGTTCCCCACAAAGAGCTTGATGGCGTCGGGTGAGCAGCCGGGGGGGGGCATCTCAGTGGGCTCCAGGGCGTCCAGGAACGTGTTCTGCAAGCCAGCCAGACCCCCCAGGCTGCCCGCCGATGGAATTGAAGTCGCCAGAGACAGACCGCCGGGAACTGCAGCGATGACAAGATCACGGCAACACACGAGAAAGAGCGGGTTTAGAACCTAACAGCAGCAACCACAAAATAATCCGAAGCGAAGCAGCAGCAAGAATGAACGCAGCGGTCGGCACAACTACGAGCGGCACGTTCCGAGAAGCACCGAAGCACCTGAAGAGGGGCCGCTCATGGAAGCGCTGCATTTCTTTTTGTACAACAGCGACAGTGTGCCATCCAACTCCCGACGCCTGTTTTGCAATCTGCGCTGAAATGGGTTACGGCGCTGCGGCAATAAGCGCCGCCTCTGCCCCAATGACACCCCCTCCCCACGCACTCAGCACTTTCCAAACCCCCCAAAAACAAAACAACAACCTGGGGAAAAGAAAACCGCGATTTGGGTTTGGGTTAAAATTGAGCGGGGAGGAGGGCGCGGCCTTCACCCCCCTGGGACGGCATCAAGCCGAACATGGGTCTACACAGATGCCCCGGCACACCAGCATCATCACCTCCCGCACAATTCTGCTGCCATCGGGCTGTTTTCGCACCCTTCCAGAGCGCCAGGCTTCCATGGCCGTTCCCGACCTCCAAGCTCCCGTTTACTCCCTTCCTGGCCCAGTCCTCCCCGTGTGACATATGATTACGACAAGGGTCCACCTCGCCCTGCAACCACCAACACCTGCTGCTTCCTGCCCCCAAAGGCACACATCCTCCTCCTCCTCCCCCTGCACTCTTCAGCCTGCAACCCAGAAACCCCAATGGGTCATTCCACATGCTATCGGCACCGTGTTTGGTCCCCGCTCCTACCCCGTCCCTGTGACCCTGAAACACACGCACCGCATCCCAGGCCCGCTCCCCCCGGCGCCATGGCCTGCCGCATGTTGGCAAGGTGCTGCTCCCTGCGCCTCCGCTGCAGCGCCGTGTCCATCCACTTGACCACCATAGGTGTCTCCATGCCCTCCCACACGTACTGGCTGTCCAATGCCGCAATGGCCGACACCGCCTCATCGTGACTGCCCATGGTCACGAGACCGCAGCCCTGTTCCGGAGGGGAGGAAATTTACGTGCAAAAGCCCATATATTTTGCCTATGTAGATGGGCGAGGAAGATATTCTTCTTTTAGTGCCACTCTCACGAACGGGAATTGCAGCAGCAGCAAGAGCATCAGAGGGAGCAATAGCAACAGAGATACAAGGATCGTGCTGTGTTCCTTGCGACTCACCTTGGTTGTAGGGGCGCCTTGAAATGCACGAAATAGGTTGACATCCGTCACTGCGGGTGAGCATGGACCAGGAAGTGTGGGTGTGGGCGCAGTTCTGTGAAGATGCCAGCAGAAGTGCCCAGTATCAAGAAGCGAGCTGCTTGTGCTTTGGCTTTAGCGAGAACTGAAAGATTCTGCTCTGCAACAGGTGCCAAGTTAACCCAGACCATGCGCTGTACTAAGGCCAAGAGCTGCAAGCTGGAGGCCGCCAAAGCACTGTTTTTGGAGAGTAGACAAAATAAGCTGCATTGACTGCTGGGACGCGGCTAGAATTCAATGTATTGCGAGCAGCTGCTCACATGCTTTCCGAGGCCAACAGCGGTTAATCGGACACACGCCCTCTGCAGGCCGCACCTTTGCCAAATTGTCCGAAAAGCCGCCTTACTTCATCTTCAGTGGCTGAGCGAAGTACTTTCGCAAAAAAGAGCTGCCGGTTGTCCTGCAAATTGCGAAGAATTTCGCGTTTCCGAGAGCCAAATAAGAGATGTCACCAAAAGGTAACGCTACGCCAAAACGTTGGCGCGGGTTCCCCAAGGTTCTTCCACGCTACATTGGAGGCCATGCAGTCACACGAAGCACAGGGTCACCACAGACCCATGTCGTGAAGGAAACAACGAGCGCAAAGCAAAGAGGAACCTTCCGAACCTGGTTCGCCGGGTCATCGAGAACACTTCGGCTGGGGCCGCACGTCCCCGTTTGGTGTGCAAGCTGATCCTGCATTCCGCCGCGCAAACGTCAACAGCCAATATAACTTATACTCCTTGGCCCTTAACCGAAGGCATCTGTCCGCAGCCGGCAGGGTCGGCCAGTCGAAAGGCCACACATTGCTTACGAAAATGCAAGGGCAGAGCCCGGAACACGTACTCACCTCCAAAACGTAACTGTCACGAAGAGCTGCGTGAAATGATGCCTGCATTGAGCAGAAGTCAGCCCTGCAACGCAGATGGACGGAATAAGCTGCCGTGTCAGTGCCCCGTCTTAATTGCCATGTCGCAATATGATGTAAGCATTAGGTGTTTGAACAATGTGTCCAGCCTAGAGGTAATGACGTGGATTGAAACTTCACATTTTTCCTCACAAAGGATGAGATGACTGAAACACATGCCATTTCCCTCACATACCAGTCCTAGCGAACAGCTTCCTCAAACTAAAGCACCTTCTTTTGCACGGAGGTTAACACCCGCTATCTTGAGGCATATGAGTTAAATAAGTATCCTCAAAGTCCAGAATATACACCTCTAAGAAAGCAGTGCAAGTGTGTATAACTTTGCAACGTATTGAGGAGCGGTGTTTCCTGATCCTGCAAAGGATGTGCACGTGTACGGAAATGTCGGGGACTTGGGGCTCTCTCCCGTTGAGTTGTTCCATCTTCAGAATGCGCAAGTTTTTATCCATTTGAGAGCATTTTATCTTAGATTAAGCACTTACCAATAGTCCGATTCCTAGAGGGGTTATGATATAAGCTTACGGTGTGACTCGCGATACGTCGCCAGGCGGCTGAATCATGACCTTCCCGAAGCATGTGCGCTAAATGTGCACGTTTTGTATCGTACCTCAATATCAGTACAGATGCTTTGTCTGTGCATAGGATGTTCGTTTTATTGGAATCCGACGGCACCTGAAAGGTTAATGCGCGAATGCCTTATTTTGCAGGTAGCGGAATGGAACATAGGAACAACTTAAGCGGCATCCGTTAGCTGGCGGAAGTAGTCACTCTGGGCTGGAGCTGTAAACGAGATAAACCGCAATCATCGGCATAGCTGAACATGAACACGACTTCAGACCGAGCTCTGCTTGTGTTGCATGGAATCAACCTTTTGGGACGGGGACGAGCACGTACACAGCGTTAGAGGATGGAACATGTATTAGATGGGCATCGAATTCCTTTGGAGTTGTGTAAACGCCATTAAGAAGAAGAAGGAGAAGAGAAAACAAGTCCACGCCATTACCCACCTGGACACAAGGATTCCTCAAGTTGCAGATGAAACTTTTTTGCAAGTGTGGTAAGCAACCCTTCCCGTTAACACCTGCTAAGGACGTTGTGATAAGAAACACCTAGAAATCTGAAAATTAAAATTATGTATTCACACTTCCTGCATGGGAAACCGTCAAGGACAGTACGGGCCGTTACGAGTTGAAGCCTTGCGTTGGGCATTTCATTTCCATTGGCTGAGCTCCAACAATCCCTCCAGCAACACTGGCGCATCAACATAACGCGCATCAACATCACGAGTAATGAAATGTTGGGATCATTAACCTATCAGCAAACAGTACAAGAACTTGAGATTAGCCTTTCCGAAGAAGGACCCTATCTACCCACCCTAAGCACCATAGGCAAACCGGAGAGCGCCAATTGCGGAATGGGGTCATAATTGCTCTAAACCTTCGCGCCAAATCCCTCACGAACCGCAACGTCCCGCAACCCGCATACACAGAACCCCTTACACTATCACTGCACTCTCATGTGCGACCCAAATCTGCGTGATCCAGGATAACTTGGACCCGTCCGATTAAATAAGGCTGTTGTACCCTCTCTGTGGAGCCTATCCGCAGTCAGGCGTGTCGCCTCAAGGCAGGCCCAGCTGCAAGTATTCCCGTTTTGCTCGGGTCCAGTAACCCGCAATCGCTCCGATAATGGCATCCCCCTCTGCACTAGATTGCAAAGACCATCGGCTGGGGGCCCCCCTCCCTTAATCCACTGCGTTGGCCGCACACCCGAACGTAAATACACACCACACACACACACCATCGACAACAACGCCGCTACCTGACGTGCATGCCAGCGCGTCGACGGCTCCTTGCCCTGTCCGGAGACCCTCTCCAACACGCAAACGCTCAATTTTATGGCTGCCGCCAATTAGGCCGCACCTTCTGCACATCTTGCGAGTGCCGCGACTGCTATGCTACAAGCAGGTGGTCCAGTTTTGAATTTATGTGTCCGTCAAATCTGGACAGATCCCTATCGGTACTAGTGTAGTAGTGCTGTCCGCACCCAAACACTGTAATGGCCGATAAAGGTACCATGTGGAAACGTGTACAACGGCTCGGACAGCACCAGGCAACCTGGGACACCCACCTCCGCTTCTCCTTGTCATTGCCAGGGTTGCCCGGGTCGCGCCAAGCTCCCAGGCAACTACCGCCCCTTCATGCTGCTGTGTTCAGACTACCGGCTGCTCACCAAGGCGCCGGCGAACCGCCTGGGCCCCGCCCTGGGACGGGTCATCACCCCAAAGCAATCCGCCTTCCTCCCCAAGCAACTTATCGGGGCTGGCATACTCTTCCTGCGCCACCTGTTGCACCCCCTCCGTGAATAGGACGGCCAGGGGCTTCGGCATTCCTGGACTTTGCCGAGGCATACGATACAGTGGATCGCCGCTCGTTTTGCCGTTGCAGCCCTTGGGCTGCCAACAGGCCGTATGGGAGCAAGCACAGGAGGGGCAGGCACAGACGGGCCGGTGGCTGGAGCCCCCCACCCCAAGGTCTGCATGCTGTCCGCCTACCTCCTGATTAAAAACCCAGCCTTCCAGCCCTGGGCCCTGATAACAGCACGCCCAACTAGGCCCTGGCTCGGGGCCAGCGACACGCCGAAGGAATCAGCCGGATTGTAGGACCCTTGGGCCACCAGAAGACGTCAGAGCCACCCCACTGACCCCACTGACCCTGGATGACTAATGCTGTGCGATTGCACCATGGGGAAACCCGCGACCGCTGGACAGGCCTGGAGACCCAGTGCCCAGGGCTTGACACATGCAGGAAAGAGCTGACGATAGGGGACCTAGTGCGGGTTTGGGACCTGACAGAGAGCAACGAGGTGGCTACCCTCCGACCCACTTATCCTGACCTCCACACGGGACAAGCGTGCGACCCTGCCTGCGCCCCCGAGGCGCCTGCCTGGACCGCAGCCGCTAGGACGGTTGAGACCAGGCAACAGCAGCAGCGGCAGCAGCAGCAACAACAGCAGCAGGGGCTAACGGGGAACCTGTGGCAGAAGAAATGGATGGGGATGAAGCGGCCGTACCGCCAGCAGCACCACAGCTAATCAGCACACAAGCGGTACCAGGGGCTGCCAGGCTGGTGGCCACGGGTGAAGCTATACCCCCCTACTTCACACTACCATAAACATGATAGCATGACCGAGTGCCAGAGATACCACCTGCTCCGGGGGAGCGAAGAAACCCAACAGAAATTCAAAGAATAGGGATCATAATACTAAAGGATAGTGAAAATTACCTAAGCGCATTTCCACGCGATGCATCATCAGCATGGCTGTAAGCGTTCTTTGTGCCAGCCCATGCATCCTGCATTCGTACTTCATTCCTTTCCAGCAGCTCCCGCACACCTCCTCCTATCTATCCGCAGCTAACAGCGGGTCCGGTTCATGATTTCAATTTCGTTCGGAAGGTATCGCGGTTGCGTCTGCGAGGTTGCGACCATGCAAGAATGCAGGCAGGTGAGTGTAAGGATGAGGTCGGAGTACCGTACAAACCGACCGACTCCCTGTGCCGCGGCCCGCGACGGCGCCGGTCCTGCCTGCCTTCAAAAGGGAGACCTTAAGCCAGGCATTCTCGTACGTTGTTCTGTCCTGCCCATGCCCATGCAGAATCCGACTGCTGTATTCGCGATCGATGCTGTGTGTTCATGGAGCCTGCGGTAGGTGATACGTAAACCCCCCTTAATTTAGGTACTAGCTACACTATGAGCTCCCCAGCTTTTGCAGACGCCCCTCCCTCAACTTTGTGCGGAACGTGTAACTTGTAACTTATGCGGCTTGCCCGGGCCCTACCACACGATCCACAGTGTCAATGGTACAAAACACTTTGCACCATTCACACTTTGTCGTTTGGTAGTTAGTTAGTTTAGTTAGGGGTCATCATAAAGTGAATGCCTCCAGGGCGCTTTTCAACGGTCCTCGCTCAGCTCCAGTTCACCCAGCACCGCCTCTGCGTCAAATGCTGCCCCCTGCACCTCCATGCAGTTCCCTAGCCGCACCAAGCGGCTGCGGGTGGTGGGGTGAGCCCTGCCCAGCGTACGCAGGCTGATGCGCACCGCCTGCCGGTGCAGCGCCTCCGCCTCCGCCTCCCGACCCTCCAATCCGTCAAGGCAGGCCGCCAGGCTCGTCAGCGATTGCACCGTGTCCGGGTGATCATCCCCGAGCACTCGCCGCCGTAGCTCCAGCGTCTGCTGCAACAGCGGTTCCGCCTCCATAAATCTCCCCTGGTCAAACGTGCAGCTGCTCAGGTTGGCCAGTGTGGCGATCGTGTCCGGGTGCTCCTCTCCAAGCACCTGCCGCCGCAGCGCCAGTGCCTGCTGGTAGAGCTCCTCCGCCTCCGTGCGGCGACCCTGGCCGTAGATGCTGCCAGCTAGGTTGTTGAGCGAGCCAGCCGTGGCGGGGTGTCGTTCACCTAGGACTTGCCGCCGTATGTCCAGCGCGCGCTTGTACATCGCCTCGGCCTCAGCAAAGCGGCCCTGCTTGTCGACGCACACTGCAAGGCCGTTGATGGAGTAGGCGGTGTCCGAGTGTAGCTCGCCCAGCAGGCGCAGCTGCAGATCCAGGACCTGGCGGTTGAGGACCTCGGCTTCGGAGTAACGGCGCAGGTACCCCAGTGCGGCGGCCAGGATGTAGAGCGATGTGACGGTGTCGGAGTGTTCGGGCCCCAGGGCCACATGCCGCAGTTCCCAGGACCGACGCGCGTCCTCCTCTGCTTCCTTGTACATGCGGCCGCCGCGCACTCGCACCCATGCCCGCATGAACAGCACGCTAGCAACGGCAAGCGGGTGCTGCAGCTCCTGGGCTTGAGATCCTGCTGCTGGTTGCTCATGCGGCAACACTGTCACCGGCGGAGTGCTGCCGGCAGCCGGTGATGGCTGCGCAGCACCGCCGACGGCGGCGTGCGGCAATAGCTGCGGCTTTGCACCTAAGCGCTTCAGTAATGCGAGACAGGGCGCCTCCATGCGGCTTAGCAGCCCTAGGCCCTCGAGCATTTGCCGCAGGTCGTCGGTGAAAGCAGCTGCAACGATTACAGGGTCCCAGCAACACGTCCCGGAGATGCCGCTGTTGCTGCTGTTGCCTCCGAGTGGTGGCGGCCTGGGGCCGCTGCCGCCGCTGTGCACTGCTGCCGTCCCCCCAGCTGCCGGCCCCGGTCCTGTGAACCCCTCCTCGAGCCCCGCAGCCAGCAACTCAAACAGCTTGCTCACGTCGGCCTGATGGTCCCGAGCCATCGTCATGGCCAGGCGCCATTCCTTGGCGGTCCGATACATGGCAGACCACTCGCGCAGCAAACCAAGCACCCAGCTCACAAATCGCCCCTCTACATTTCGCTTCAGGCCGGAGTCGATCAGGTGACCTTGCTCCGCCGACTGCCGCCGCACAACCATATGCATCAGGTACTGCTGCCCGCTGCTGCGCTGTACAACGCTGTAGCGGTGCAGTACTGCCAGCAGCGCCCGCGCTTGCGGCAGCGTCACTGCCCAAATGGCTGCTGCGGCTTCATCATCGAAGGCTGATGGGAACACGGCAAGCTGCGCTGCTGCCTGTTGGTGCTGCCGCTTAAGACTGCTCAGGACCAGTCGGACGGTGCTACCGGTGGCGTCAACGGGCTCTCCCGCAGAAGGGCCGCCGTATGCCCGCAGCTTGCTCAAGTCCTGCAGCGCCCCGGAGCACGGACATGCATGCGGCATAAAGATAAGCGCGGCGAAACCCTAAAGTAAGACTCTAGCCTAGTTCCCCATACCCCATACCCCAGGCAGCACGCGGCTGCTTCTGATGCCGTGATCCCCATATCCACAAGCCTCTTTGCGCGCTAAATCCCGGGTCAGGCTCCGTACCTCCAAGGTAAGCCGCCCCGCCACCAGCGCCTCCGCCACCAGGCACAGCAGCAGCGGCACGCAGTTGCACGCGTCTGCTACGCCTGCGGCCTCGGCCTCCGTCAGGTCCGCCGCCACGGAGCGGATGAGCAACGTGGCTGCATCTGCGCTGATGGCCCCGACGGGTCTTTCCGCCAGGCCGGCAGTGGCCAGACTTAGCGTCACACGTGAGGTGACCAACAGGCGCACAGAAGGAGCCTCGCGAAGAACCTGAGGGGCCGCGGGGGTGGGCTGGTTGGGGTTAAAGGGTAAACTCCGATTGACCCTAACAGCAACGATGTCGTCATCCGTCATGAGTTTCAACGCACCCCCTCTATCGGGCCCGCTCTATCTTTCCCCCCTCTATCTTAGTATCGGTATCGTCATCCCTCTTTTCTTTCGTAGCAGCCATCTCTGCGCCATGGAGGGAAATGGCACCAAAACCCTCTGGTGCTCCCCTTGCTCCGGACGCCCTCCCCCCCTCCCGGCAGTTCGCACCTTACTCAGCAAGCCACGAATGCTCTCCGCAGCCCCCGGATGCAGCAGGGCATCCTCCGCGTTGTCAACGACGACCAGGACCTGCATGGGCTGCTGCTGACTTGCCGCTCCCGGGCGGCCGTCCGCCGTCAACTCGGCGCCGTGCAAGTGCATCTGTCCGCGACCCAACGCGCCGTCCGGCGGGACGCCGTTAGGCTGTACACCATTGCCTTTGTATGCGGCGGATGCAATGGTAGTGGCAGTGCTGCAGGCGGGCGCAGCGGCAGCGGCAGCGGCAGCAGCTTTCAGCGCTGCCAAGATGCGGGGTGCGTTGTCTTGCTTCTCCTGCGGCACAGGAACGGTATAGTACGTGTTTTCAAGGCGTAAGCAAGAGCCTGGTTACCCCCGGCGAGTGTAACGCACACACAACGCGTGTGCCGCCGCTAGGTCGAACAAGCTACGGACTTGCTGCCCATCGTAAAAAGGATGTCATTTTTTGTACAGTAACGGGTGGCCTGTCGCTCGTAAACTACCTCACCGCTTGCAATCCCAGCGACGCACAGAACCGCGCCTCCACCTCCGCCAAGCTGCTTGCCTCCCGCAGGTCAACCCACAGCGCTCCCGCCGCCGCCGCACCGCTGTTCATCAGCCGCCAGCCCACGTCGACGGCCAGGCAGGACTTGCCCATGCCGCCGGGTGCCAGCAACGCAACCGACCCGTGGTTCACTAAGTGCCTTACCACCGCGGCCGCTTCATCCTCCCTGCCCATGTAATTGGACACCAGCGGCGGCAGCTGGCAACGCACGCCGGGAGGCATCGCCGCCGGCGGCGCCGGCACGGCATCGGTCGCCAGGGGCGGCCCTAGCCTACGCTCGGCAGATGCGGCAGCCACACCTGCCGTCGCCACACCTGCCGTCGCCGCTGCGGCTGCTGCTGCTGCTGCTGCCACGGGCTGCGACTTGGGCGACGAGCTGAGCAACCTCTCAACCTGCGGTAGCAGTCCTTCGTCGCCGCTGAACGCCAGCTTAAGCTCCCACACGCTGAGGAAGTCCTTGTTGCCCCGCTCCACCGCCAGCTGGAAGGCAGCGCGCGCGCGCTCGTCACCCAGCATGTTGCTTAGCTCCGAAACCAAGGTCAGCTCCACCGGATTTTCCCGGAGCTGTTCAGGGAACTGCTCCCAGAAATCGAACCAGGGCACCTCCGTAATGCTCGCGTACTGCTTCATCCAAAAGACGCGCAGATCGGGGTGGCGGATCAGTCGCTGGGGACCCTGATCCAGGTGCGACAGCAACAGTGACTCCACCTGCGCCCAGGTCCGTGGTGGGGCCCGTCAGGTGGTGGTTTACCGCGGTGGCCCTGTGATGTGTGATGTGTGATGTGTGATGTGTGATGTGTGATGTGTGATGTGTGATGTGAGAGATGTGATGTGTGATGCCGAGAAGGTCATGGCTCCCTTTTAATGTCCTTTGAAGCCCGCAGCCGCGACACACACTAAGGCACCTTGGACACAACACGCACATCTCCTGTCGTGTTGCATGATCTTGTAGCTGCTCACCACTTTGATTGTGACTTGGGATCCCACATCCAACTTGAGTTTCACGCGCCGCAGCTTGTCGTCATCGGCGAGTACGGAGTCCAGGCCACCCAGCTCTGCCACAAGGGCTCTTGCGCCCGCGGCGGGGTCCTGCGGGCAATGTCCGGCCCGGAGGTCACCGACCATACACACAGTGTGTGTGCGTGCGTATGTTTTAAACCTCCTGGACTTGTTTTACCTTTCAAAGTTTCGCCCTTCAGTGCCGCGTCCTGTTTGTTCGTACCGTACGATTGGTACCAAGGTGTACGGTGGTAAAAAATGGCCATATGCTGATGTGAAGATACACGGGAGTTCTGGATAGTCCCTCCTATGCCCACCTGGTACTCCGCCGTCTGCGCCAGCAGCCTCGCGGCCTCATCTACGGTTCGCTGCAGCTGCTGCAGCCGCGCGTTGCTGTCCGCGGCCACCAGCATCATAACCTGCTCGCTCAGCGTTCCCAGCGAGGCGACCAGCGCCTGGTACTGCTCCTGGTCACTGCCGCATGTCAACAGCCGGGTGATGCAGTTGCGCTCACAATAGATGCGGGTATAGGAGATGATGCCCTGCACACACCACATAAAGAAAGGGGGACGTCACCAGCCCGCAGGGTAGGTAGGAAGGCCATCCGCGGAGGGCGGAAGCGGGTGTGGGTCAAGTGGAGGAAGGCCATAAAGACGTGGGAGACGGAGGTGGGTAGACTATGGCAGCAGTGCGCTGTTGGAATGTGCCTTGCTCGAAGCTGCTCGTTCATGGACTGGGTTGCTGGAGACTAAGAGCGTTCCCAGGCGAAAGCATGCAGCGCGTATATGTGCGGGGCCTAGCCGCTGGGGGCCTGGCCGCCGGGGGGCTAGCCGCTGGTTAGACACGTGCATTTTCTTGTATGACATCTGCGGCGCACATGTCCTCATAATATCAAGCTCATCACCTCTTCCCTCTCCCTTTCCTTCACTCCGCCCTTCACACCTTCGCTCACGCCTTTCTTCACACCCTCCTTCACAATTTCGGTCACCCCTTCCCTTACCCCATCCATCACACCTTCCATCACCCAACCCTTTCTCCTCCGAGACTCCGGACTTGCCGCCTGCATGCAAGATGATGCCGTCCACTCGCCTCTCCCCCTCCCTCCTCTCACCCGTCCTCACTCAACCCTACCTGCAGCAGCTCCTGGAAATCGTCCACCACGCCCTTGTAGCGGGGTGGCCGCAGGTTGGACAGCTCCTCCTGATAGGCCGCCAGGATGTCCAAGAAGGCCACCGCACGCTGACGTAGCTCCGCCAAGTTGGCGTGATTGGCTATAGCGCCGTCCACCAGGTCCAACAGGATCAGGACCAAGTTGGCAGCCTCTGCCCCTGGAGCGGCAGACGCACCGGCGGCAGCAGGGAATGGATAAGGTCGGAAAGGATATCTTGGGTGTCTGACCCCTGTCGTGACAGAACGCGTGGTGTGTGCCGTGGCGTGATGGCGCATCGTAACAGCGCGGCTGAGGAGATCAAAGTAGTCGCCATACCGGCGGCTAGGTGCCATCCCTTCCCCACCTGGAAACGGCAACGAGGGCCCCAGCATCTGAATGCCGTTGCGGGCCAGCTTGACTCCCTTGGCGAGCAGGCCCTGTTCACACACGCACGCACATAAGCAGGCATGCGGGCACACCGGCATGCAGGCATGCAGGCATGCAGGCATGCAGGCATGCGGGCATGCGGGCACACAGGCACAGCCAGATCAGTCGAGGCCCGAGCCCGTGGGGGTGATGCGAAGGCTCCAGCGGGAAATGAAATAGTACGAGGTAGTGATCCGACGTACAAAGCTGCGAAGAAGTGCCCCTGCCTACTGGCCACCAGACGCATAGGGCACCACTGATCTGCTAGCCTTATAAGCAAGGCACCCTATGGAGGTGGTTGCGTTGACGAGCATCAGCATCGCGATTGCAGCAAACACGCATTTCTTCTCAAGGTGTGAGGAGCTGCAGGAGGCTGACACGAAGGTCGTCATGCGTTGCGTTGCTTTGCTTTGCTAGGCACAGTGCAAGGGCTGTACAAGGCGTGCAATGGGCTGTGTTCAAGGCGGGAGCGCGGCAGGGGCCGTGCAGGAATGGCGGTTTAATACGCTTCTAGAACGCTTGCACCGGCTGAGACGAACCATGAGCGACTCCCGGCGCGTGTCAGCACTGCCGGCGGATTGCTGCTTGCTGTCGCTGCCAACCGTTCGTTGGGTCGTTTGTACGACTAGGTGCGTCGTAGCGGTCCTGGTAGTTGTGGATATGGACGCTGAAGCGGAAAGATCCGGAATGCCCAGGACCACAGCGCCGGCTGGCGGTGAGGCCAATCCCAAGGCTGTGGCGGAGCTCGTCTGCTTTGTCACAGCTCTTGACATTGCTTTGTTGCGGTAGGTGACCAGACGCATGGCGTCGTGAGCAGAGACGCCCCGGCTTATCAGATGCTGCGGGCAGCGGGAGTTGGGAACGTGAGAGGTACAGGAGTGAAGGCGTGGGGACGGGGAAGGAAGCGTCTGCGGGTCGGGTGATGCTGCCTGTGCCAGCACCTCGTAAGGGTGTCCCTGTGAGGCGTTTAGCCGCCGCTTACTAGGTTGAATGCGGGAAAGGCGCTGTCTATAGCTAAGGTTAAGGTAAAGTTGGGTGAAATTATGTGGATTTAGGCTTGATATGTTGCTGCTTTGAGGATCGGTCCACCTGCTCGGTCCATTGCGCAACGATGCATCCCTCATCGGGCAACAAGCTTGCACGGTATTTCTGGAGATCTGGAACCAGAGAGCTGAACCATGCGGAAACTTCCTGCGAGCAGTAATGTCCAATGTGTTGTGGCCGCATCGACATAACAGACGCGAAGCTAGCTGACACGCCATGTTACCTGCGCATCCCATTCTTCGAGCGGCTTCCCTTCCGGTGGCAGCCGCTCCAATGGCGCCCCACTGCCAGAAATGTTGTCCTCCCTGGAAGCTCCACAACCCATCCTCCGGCTCAACTATGAGCACTTTGTGAATGGCCAGCACATGTACGGTACGTCGTTACTAGTCGTGCGTATTGCCGACATGCACTCATATGACTTAATGCTGCTACAAACTCACGGAAGAGTAGGTGTGGTGATAACCTACCTTTGTTCGGGTTGCGATTAGTAAACAATGTACAACAACGTACTGTAGGTAAGGCGGAACAGGTTAGTTAGGAAGCAATAAACGTAAAATTAACATGCATATGTGATCAGATATCTTATGCCAAAGCCATTCTGCATGGCAGCAACAATCGAAGCCCCCTTGAAGTGGCATGTGGTCAAGGACATCGTGGAACGTGGGAAGACGGACGCGAATGCTCTCAGCGGACTTGGCCGATGTATATGTGATTACAAAGATTACACGGCGTATTGTCAAAAAATAAAGGAGGAATGGGCGACTGTCAGCGATTATATGCGGGCGAAGCTGTTCAACGCTCCGACGGCGAAAAACGCTGAGGGCAAGCTAGAGGTGGACGCAAATGCTGATACGACGTCGTCAGCATGCTACGTGCTGGTTATGAAAAATGAATTTCCTTACAGCTTCGCATCCGAGGACAACATCCTGCACATCAACATTTGGTCCAGCTCAGAGCCGTTAAGCGATAACGTGGTGGAGCAGCTCATTGCCGATCGACTGCCATGCGACGAGTATGTCTGGTTCGTCAACCCTCCACAGCTACGATCTGTACGAGCGGTGCGTGTTCGTGCGCGTGATGGTTAAAAAGCGCTCTTCAACCGTTGACATCGGCACTCCAGGGTTGGGATGGCCAGCCACGTGCACAATTAGAAGGTCGCATGCGTGAAGGTCATACATTTCCGCAAAAGCACCTTTCAAACTTCGTAACAAGCAAACCGCCTCGGCTCCTTCGTGGCCCCCTTTCCCCTGCAATTGCCCGCAGCTTTGGCATTGCCACATCATGCTGCGGAACCTCAAGCCATCCGCCAAGCTTTCAACACCTGGTACGTACGTACGCCTTGCCCTGAAAACACGCCTGAGAACTTTGCAACAAATGGAAATCGCACACCACAGCTTTTGATGATATTTCTTTCTGACGGCCAAACATGTCGGTTCGCAGCGGCTCGGGAGGGCAAAGGCGGCCGGCCGCCCGGCTGGTATCAATAAGCAGCGCCGTCAAGCCACCCACCAGCCCGCTCGAAGTGCCTCTTGCGCATCACATCCTGCCTCTTCACCCACCCACCCTCGTCTCCCGTCCATACTACACGTGACCGCCACGTGTGCATGCAAGCCAATGCGTGCCAACGGAATATCATCTAGGATTGGCCATTAGGTACCGTAGCAGGGCTACTGGCATGGATTGCTGCCTGGCCTAACAAGGTTACACGTACCAGCCAGGACCGCCCTGCGGTTACCACTGCGTCAGGGAGAACCCTGCTTGTGTTCCGCAAGGGGCCCCCCCAGCGCGCGGCGCAGTTGGCAGTGGGCAGTGCAGCCATTCTGGCTACTGCTGGCGGCCGTTAGGATGCTCGTCCCGTCACCTTTCCGTACCTACCACCTCCCCATGCAGCACGGCTCCCCATGGCGCTTGGCTCATGAGGTGGATCTGGTAGAGCCGGTCACACCCCGCTATTCTATAACAGGCGCTCCTCCCTCGCCCGGGCCCGCGGCCCTGTGCCCTTGTGCCAGTGCTGGTGTGCTGCCCGGGGGCATGGAGAACCCCGCTCCCAAGCAATCCACCCTACCTGGCGCGCGCCTGGCGTGCATTACCGGTAGCACGTGCATGTGCATGTGCATGTGGACATGAATAAATGCTCACACACAGCACTTTGTGGTGGGAGGTCCTTGTCGACGAAGCAGGAAGGATACGCCATACACCATCGGGGCTCAGAAAACGTCTCAGCAGTCCTCAACCGCTAGCAGTCAGCCGCCCTTCTTTTTCTGCTCGATTTCTTCTGTCTGTGTGAAACTTTTGCTGCCCTACACCTTCAAAATGAAACATCCCAGTTTTGCTTTATCCCTCCTGCGCTGTTCTGTTGTCATCACCGCCGTTCCATGTGATGGGTCCCCCCCTTTCCATTCTATTGCACTCCAATGTTGAAGGTCAACCGGAGCTGTTTGATGCGGCCGCATTCACGGACGGCAGGAGCCTTCTTGCCTTGTGTGGGAAGGAGGCGACAGGACCAGGTCCTGCGGCGGCGTGACGGCAGGAGGACGCTGAAGACCTAATCAAGGCCCGCATGTTTGGATGGGGGCCCGATGGGGACCCGCTGCTGCTGTTGTTGCTGTTGCTGTTGCTGTTGCTGCTGCTGCTGTTGTTGCTGTTGCTGCTGTTGCTGTTGCTGCCATTGCTGCTGTTGCTGCTGTTGTTGCTGTTGTTGCTGTTGCTGCTGCTGCTGCTGCTGTTGCTGCTGCTGTTGCTGTTGCTGCTGTTGCTGTTGCTGCTGTTGCTGTTGCTGCGGCGGCCACAGTTGGTCCGGCCCTAAGGACTGTGCACCCGCTGCTGGGTGTGTCAACGTGAGAGGAGTACTGCGCTGGCAGTTCACCGCGCGGTAGTGCAATGTGGCGGTGGTGGCCACCAGGGGGCCTCAGGGGCTGTGACAACGCGTAACGACTGTTTCTTTGAACCAGACCGTGGAGACGCTTTCTTTCTTTCGTAGTGTTCGGCATTATGTATGTATGTGTGCGTGCGTGTGTGTGCGTGCGTGTGTCTGTGTATGTTATCCTCCGTGCGCGTGCACATGCGCATGCAAGGTGTGCAACTCGCTTGTGCGGCGGTGCAGGCATTGCAGCTCATTCGGGTACAATATATGTATTGCACAATACAAGCGGGCCGGGCTGCTGTGGGACTCGGATATAAAGAAGGGCCCGACTTTGTCGGGATAGCACCGGGATTGGTCACATCCATATCTCTCTTCTTGCGACAATCGGACACCAGGCCGGTGGTGCTGCGAATACGGCAGGCCCCAGAAGCGACGCGACACATCACCGCGTACTCGTAACTCCCCTTCCACAGCTCATGCAACCCGGTCTTACCTCACAGCCACTGCGTCGAGTCTTTGAACCTCCTTCCCCAAGACCCTCCGGTGCTTTGACGTGCTCACAAACATAACATTAAAAGACGTACTCGGTTGCATAGAGGTGGCCGAAAACGCCAACACATGGTATGTCTAAAACGCGTGGAAAGTGCGTTGAGACCGAGGAGCTGACTGGGAGTGCAGAAGACTGTAGCAGGCTGACAACCAGGTCAATGCCTGATTTGGCAACGACGAGCACATTCCTCAGCACTGTTGCATCCCGCCTCACCTGCCGAACGGCTGCCAGGGTTCACCTGGGCGGCCTGTACACGTCGATCGGGGTCCTCACATCCCACATGTATAGTTTGGAAGGTTTCAAAGCTATCGCACAACAATCCACTAGGGAGATACGCTGACGTGAAGGTGTTCCATCTAGTCGGCATCTCCGGCTACATGGAAGGTGCCCGATTAGAAGGTGCCCGTGCCAAAACTGGTAACTACCCAGCGGTTGATCCGCACACGGCCGGATAAGGCCGTGTGTTGTATCCTGGGCGGCGTATCACGGGATCTGACATCCGCCGATCAGAACTTTCCTGTAGTCGTCATACAACACCATGCGGCACGAGGCGGATTAGATATCTTAATGCCATCAAGCCCTGCTGCTATTAGCTGGGGCGCTGCGAAGTTCGGGCAGTGAAGCCCCCCTGCTTCCCGTCTGCGCCGCCAGACAGTCACCGGAACCCCAGACCTAGACTTCACCAGGCCCCCTGTACGTCCCAAACCCCAATAATGCACCACCCCGGTCCCACGTCCACAATTGGCGAAAACGATACAAGGGAGCGCACACAGCGCAGCCTGAAGCGACCCAACTGCGACAAGATGCCCTCCAACTCTGCAGCTCTGTCCCATGGGACGCTTGACTGTCGTACACCGAATGCGTGTCGTACGATAAGTACCCTATCGATTCTGAGTCTGATATTGTCTCCCAACAGCCTATCATTCGGGGATCTAGCTCTTCTTGGCGCATGGTTAATAAAAAACGCCGGTATACTTGACGGGGTACCCTTCCTTAACCGCCGTTAACAGAGTCCAACGCTCTCCTAACAGCCTCCAACAGCATCGTTACAGTCCCTAAGCCGAGGATCGCCTTTTAGCAACCCTAGCGGTGTCGTACAGCCTCCAACAAACTACATCAACCCATAACGGCACATAATTGACTGGTACTGATAAACTCCTCATATTCAACATTACCGCCAGCTGGCTTGAAATCATGCAATATTACCACAGCTGCCTGCAAGTCGTGTGCAGCCTTGTGTGCAGTACCTTACGAGCTGTGTAGTTGAACACGGGCCAACATGCCTGCATGCAGATGCATGTGCATGTCAGTCCAGCCCCAGAGCGCGCCTGGCGTGCCGCCACCATCGCCACCACCATGACCACCTTCGCCGCTGCGGCCGCATCCACTGCCGCACATCATTACCACACAACAGCCAGAGTCGCGAAGCTGCCGCAGCAGAGCCACGAGTTCCGTCTCCCCCAGGGCCAGCGAGAAGGCATCCACGTCCTCCACAAGCACCAGCGCGGCACGGCGAACCAGTGCACGGGCCACAGCCAGTCGGAGCAGGCCCAGCTGTGATAGCGCATTGCCGCTGCCCTCACCTAGTGTGGTGAAGTAGCCATCCTGGAGCGGGTGCATAGTAAAGCGGAGCCAGGGGGATGGGGAGTGTTTGGGGGGCTTCAGGAGGTTGGTGAGGTGGTGTATAAGGTAACTCATTACAGCTACTACTCCCGGGGGGTTTCTGGGGTGGCAGCGTGAGTGGCGGGGTGGTGTGGTCGGGGGGGGTGGGGGTTGGAAAAGCGTTATTCGGGTTGGGGATGGGAGTAGTGGTCGGGAATGGGGAGCTGGACCTCGTGGGCTACCGGGGGGCTGTGCTTGGGTTTGTGTGCGGTTGCGTGTGCGTGTGCGTGTGCGTGTCCTAGGTCCTCCAGGGAAGGACCCGGAAGAAACCGGCCGAGGAAAAGGTCTCTATGGGAGGTCAGGTACGCAGCTCTGTCAACTTGACGGGGCAGCCGGAGACAGGTGAGTAGAGATACATACACACTAGTTCAGGCACGACTGGTAACGCACACATCGATGCCTCCGAAGGTTCCGGGATCGAGACGGGCCAAGGTCGAAAATCCTTCCGGCGGTGGAAGGTAAGAGTGCCCCTAGTCGATGGACGGTGGTGACCTGGGATAAAGTAGACCTGCGGGCTGACCAGGAATGGAGTTGAGCCGCCGTTGATTCAGCAGATTCCTTTGGATGCCGGCGGTGGGTGCTGAACCTGATCAATCCACTGAGAAGTAGGCTAGAGTGACTGGATGAGGGTGCAACGAGATACCGGGGAAGGCAGGGTTTCGCCAGGTAGCGGCCACGGGTGAAGATATGGGCCCTCTGGCCTCCCCCCGGCCATATTTTTAGGTATTTTCAGGCACTCCAGTCCGTGTGTGCCCCGCCTCCGGACGTACCTTCAGCGTCATGGCTTCCTCGTGCAGTCCGGCGGCTTGGCATGCCTGCCGTACATCTGCAGTACTCACGGCCCGCCACGCCGCCGCCACCGCCACGTTGTCCTCCAGGGAGGTCCGGAAGACCCCGCACATCGACCTGCCGCCACCGCCAGCCCGTTACCACCAGCGCCGCCGCCATTGCCGTACAGGCCAGGGAGGGTACGGGATTTTCGGCTTTTATCTTATGCAGGTCCTAATCCGGCCTCCCTCCGTTCGCCGCTTTCTTCTTTTCCTCCTTCTCGTCCTCCTCCTCCTCCTTTTTCTTCTTTTTCTGTTGCTTTCCGAATAAAATTGTAGACCCTAAGTCGTAATTCCTTCCATCTAGCCTGTCTAGCTGCCCAGCCGCTATGTATTGTAGCTTATATGTGGCGGGAGGGAGGCGAGTACAGCTCAGTTATGTACGGCAGCCGTACGGCTTATCATTTTCGTTTTGTTTTAAAGCTCCGTAGATCCGGCAGTCTGCTTTACAACACTATTGGAGCTTATTGTTGTTATTTCACTTCCCTCTTCCTCCCGCCCTCAGTGTTCCTCGTTTATAAGCGGCAGGCTCGGCCCAGTTGGAGACCTGGTGATTGGGCAGCCCACTCGGAGCGCCAGACACATCACTGTACAGTGATCACCGCACGGCCGCAGCGCCTTTAAAGTATCGTTGCACGCTAGGAATGTTGCCTGGCCAGCCCCGCTGGCCAAGGCGCAGTTCATGCGTCGCTGACGCTTCAGGTTTGCCCTCGGGGCGGGTGTCAAGTGGACATGACGTGGTCATCCATGCGGCGTTCAGCCGTCTAGTGCTGTTTGTGTGTGTGTGTGTGTGTGTGTGTGTGTGTGTGTGTGTGTGTGTGTGTGTGTGTGTGTGCATTAGTTCTCCCGGCCGTGCTGGTGCGGCCGCGCTGGACAGCGCTGCATGCGCATTGACTCTGTCGTGCGGCGCTAGACCGCACTTCGGTGCACTACACCCGCCCCTGGCGCTCCGAGAGCAGCTGTCTGCAGTTGTGTAAGGCCCTTGCTTGGCAGCCCCGGTTCCGCCTCGCCCTGTCCTATCCGGCGCCTCGAACGCGACTGTACAGCAAGCCGTGAAGGCTATACCACATAACGTGCATATGAAAGTATGTAACGCACCTGCTGATGAGGGCCACCCTGGAGCGAGGAGGTCGCAGGTAGTCCTGACGGAAACTGAACGCCGCCCATTCCCAGTCAGCGGAGGCCGGTACAGAAGCCGCTGCCGCCGCCGCCGCCGCCGCCGCTGGCATTGGCATCGACACCGGCGCCGAAAACTTGTCAGTACGGTTGTTGCCGTCACCACCCATCCCGCCACCAGGCTCGTTACAGCTGCTGGCGGTAGTGGCTGCGGTGGTGGCGGCGATGGGTGTGCGGCGCAGCAGTCGGTCCAGGGGGGACGGTCCCAAGAGCGCCGCGGCGGAGGGCAGGGCGGCGGAGGGCAGCTGAAAGGCCAGACAGCCCTTGTACGGCGGAGTGCGCAGCATCAGCATCGACAAAAGCCCGTGGAGGCCCTCGACATCGTCGCCTGCGGTGTAGTGTGCAAAGTGTAGTAGAGTGTAGTACAGTACAGTGCAGTGCAGTACAGTGCAGTACATTGCAGTGCAGTACAGTGCAGTACATTGCAGTGCAGTGCAGTGCTGTACAGTGCAGTGCCGTACACTGATAGGAAAGGGAAAGGATTGAGCATGCTGGAAATAAGTTTTTGGGCGGGGCCCCAGCGCGAAGCGCCCAGGGGGGCCCCGACCTGTAGGATTGCCCATGTCCGTTTGTGTGTGTGTTCGTGTGTGTGTAACGGACCAAACATAATATCCGCCCGGCTGAAACGCGTTATAGGTACTATACAGCATTCTCTATTGCAAGGTATCTCGCATGTAGCCAACAAAAATCGTATGAGCACAAACAAGTTTGGCTGCCTCAATTGACCGAGGCCAAAGTCACATCAACGCCTCTCGCGCTAAATTTCATCCCGAAAGGTACCGCGTATCTCATATTTGAATTCTTAGATGACGGCGTATGATAACTCGAACTCCCAGGCCTTGAGTGTGTAACGGACCAAACATAATATTTCACCCGGCTGAAACGCGTTATCGGTACTATACAGCATTCTCTATTGCAAGGTATCTCGCATGTAGCTAACAAAGACCGTATGAGCACAAACAAGTTTAGCTGCCTCCATTCACCGACCTCAAAAGTCACATCAACGCCTCTCGCGCTAAATTTCATCCCGAAAGCTGCCGCGTATCTCATAATGGAATTCTGAGATGACGGCGTATGATAACTCGAACACCCAGCTTGTGTTACCATTTGCCGGCATGGGCAATCCGACTTGCCACCAGCAGGCCAACATAATTTGCTTTCATTTCTCTGTGAAATACACACGCTGCTTGTTTGTACATTTACTTTGGCCAATGCACGGGGCCTCCGGAGACTTGCGGTGTGCCCCGATGAAGCCCGCGGCTGTGGGGCGGATTGCTGAGGCCGCTGGCGCTTCGGGGATAAACATCACAGACAGCACCGAAATTCACCCAGCTTTCGTTACCATTTGCCCGCACGGGCATTCCGACTTGCGGTCTGCCGCACTGTCCATGCGGCATGCACCCGGGATGGATGCGATCCGCGTGGAGCCCGCAGGCGGTGCTGACGATTCCGCCGGTGCAAGCTTAGCTCTCACACCATCAGCACTGCTGCAACAAAGCACATCTCCCACTGCGTTGACACTACCCATCAATTGTCACACTTGCCACCCTTGCTACCGGCCTGTACGGATGCAGAGGGCCCCGCCCTTTTTCCGGCTTCCTTGAAGCCGACACCCAATCTTGTCACAGGCGGGGCTGTTCGGAGGGGTCTGTGCTGGGAGGGGACTCCACCAGGGGATTCCTGGTGATTACAGATAGGGAAAAACCCCGAACCGTAAAACGTCCGGAGCCGGAACCGGAGCCAGGGTAATGCATACAGGAGTGAGAGCGCCGGGTGGGATCGACCGAAGGAGGAGAAGTATGTTTGATTATGCCTAGCTTAAAATCATATCATTTAATTTTTCAATTTCCTCTTCACTTATACTGTCGTACGGTACGGTGGCCCAGCGGTCTAAGGCCTAGGATTAATCCTATCCGTACGGGCGCAAATTCGAATCCTGCCCGTAACATAGATAGAGAAATGATTTTCCCCCTGGGAAATCCCGGTATCGGATGCCTCCTGCTATGAAAAATTACCGGGGCATTGCAGTTTGGGGGTCCCCTGTGCAACCTTTACGTCAATATCATCGGGAGGCGACCCACCAATTACTGTGAGGGCAACAGGCTACGTGCCGCTAGCCAGGCTGGGTGTAGGCTTGGTTTTGGTACCGAGCATCACTTGTTTACATTAAGGCATCTTGTCTCAAAGCACACTGCGGCCGGAGCCAGGCCGATTTTTATCATGCAAATTGACTTTAGTAAGGCGTTCGACTCCGTTGACCATGAGACACTTGGGGCTTCCTCATGTCGTACGGGCGACACGGGCGCATCCTTGATTCTCTGAAGGCTAGCTACGCTAACGTGAAGGTTCGGGTTAAGTTGGGGAATAGGTTGGGACCCGAATTCACGGTGGGGCGTGGTGTGAAGCAAGGGTGCCCCCTTAACGTAACCCTTTTTGGACTCTGCATAGAAGTGTTCGCTCATTTAAATTGATCCTGACGATGCTGATTTCCGTGTACGCCTTCCTAGCCGATGGAGCACCCTCCGCGAGCAGAGTGTTAGCCTGGCGGGCGGTGACCTCACCAACCTGCTTTTAGTTGACTGGTGGCGACAGGGCACGATAGAGCTGAATGCCCTCTGGGGCTACCCGAAGCCTACTGCAAAGCGACGGGTATGGCCACGAATGCCGCCAAGTGTGAAGTCCTTATTTTCGGGGGCACTACACGTGAGCGGAAGCGGCTAATGGAAGCTGAGTACCAGCTAGGTGGGGTGGGGTTGCGGGTTGAGTGGTGGACAAGCAAGGTACTAGCCTTTCTTACTAGCTTAGGAGCGGAACCCCCCACTAATACGCGCGGTGATGATCTTGTGGCGTATTACGCCACCCTTAAATTGCCAGTTCTTAAGGTATTTGCGAAGCGGCTTGATGCACGGTGGAACTGTCCGAATACCTTGGGTGACCCCCGCGTTTTCCCCATAGGGATTACCGGAGCCAAGGCTTGTCGCTATATGAACTGGATGGGAGCGGCCCCGCCTAGGGGTGCGCGTCTCGATTGGTTGGAGCACACTAAAGTGACCATGCCCCAGCGACTGCACCAAGTGCTCATGCGTTTCCGGTTAGGCTGTTGGAAGTTAGAGGTTAATAGGGCTCATGGGCGTGAGCACCGCGCGTACCTGCAGGCTTTGTGACTGTGGAGCAATGAATTGCATGTTTTTATGCATGCCCCGCTTACAAGAGCATACGGGCTAAGTACGATGGTGACCTAGTCTTTGAGGGGCGCAGCATGCGCAGCATTATGACTGAGGCGCCACCCCTGGCATTGGCCAGGTACCTAACGGAAATCTGGGAGGCCAGGCACGTCGCGCTGAGGCGCTTCACCCTGAAGCGAACGAAGGAGGATGATAATGGCCTCCCGTGTACCCGCATCAATACTAATATAACGTGCCGGCTTTTACAGATACACCCGCACTTGTGCGCGGAACTTGTAACTTGTAACTCTGAACCCCGCCCTGACCCCCGGCCCCCGCACACCTGTCACCACCACCGCCTGCCCCGCCACCACCTCCAAATGCACGTCACGGAGCAGCAGCCGGTCCTTGTGGCGGCGTGACGTCAGATGCACTCCGCTCAGCTTGAATCCCCCAAGTAGCTGGCCAAAATCGGGACGTGGCGGCCGTTGCGGCCATGGCATCCTTGGCCCTGCTGCTGCCAAGCCCCATCCGCTAGCGGCGCCGGTGCCAGCGGATGCCACCGCGGCGCTGCCGCCATGGTACGAGCGCGTGCCGTACCCCACCGTGGCTCCTGTGGACCAGTCTTCCGTGGTGGCGACCGGGTTCGCCTCCAGGTCGGAAAGAGCGCCTCGCTCTCGCGCGTCTGGTGGTGCCGTACGGGATAGTAGGGGTTCCGCGAGCGGGCTGGCGGTGCTGGCAAGTGTACGACAGCGTGAAGCGCCGCTGCTGCCGCCTCCGCCGTCAACGTTTCGGAAGAGGCTGCGCCGCGGGACCTCTTCCTCGCATGGCCTGTCGCGGGGCCCTTTCTCGCCGCTGGCCCCACCGACACTGCCGCCGCCGCCGCCGCTGCCGCCACCGCCGCTGCCGCCAGGCACGGCACCGAAGGTTCCCCTGTCGTGCAGTTCCACCAGGCGCTCAACACTGCCCAGGCCGGCCATCAGCCTAGCCCAACTGTCACTCGCCTGTAGACGCGTCCGTGAACATGGATACGGTTATGGAAGGTTAGGTGGATGGAGCGAAGGACATTGATTTAGAGGCTGATTAGAAGTCCTGGAGACTCCGCCCCAAACCCGTAAAACCCAGTATTTGCCTGGTTGCAGCATTAAATCTCGATAGTTGCCCAGATTTTAGCATTCAAACCCAGTAGTTGTCCGGGGTTTAGCAATAAAACGCAGTAGTTGCCGGGTTTTAGCGTTCAAACCAAGCAGTTGCCGGGTTTTAGCGTTCAAACCAAGTAGTTGCCGGGTTTTAGGGTTCAAACCAAGTAGTTGCCGGGTTTTAGCGTCCAAACCAAGTAGTTGCCGGGTTTGAGCAACAAAACCTAGTAATTGCCCGGGTTTTCGCAGTAAAACCCAGTTGTTGCCCAGGATTCAACAGTAAACCCTAGTTCCATCTTCTGTTTTCCAACTCTTGCCATCCAGCTCAAGGCCGGCGCGCCGCCCTATTGTACTTCAACCCAACCGACCCCTGCACAGCACCACCCCACCTGCTTCAGCCCCTTCTGCAGCCAACTGCAGTACTGCAATACGGCAAACAGCGTTCCCACCGTCATGACGCCGTCAAAGAGCGCCGCGCCGCCCAGTGCCAGGAGACTAAAACGCAGCGCTGCACTGAGCAGCCCAGTGATGGCGCCATGACAGTGCAGCAGGCAGTTAAGGACCAAGGTGCTGGCGAAGTAGTCAGCGGCGAAATGGCGGTAATCTTCAACGGCAATCGGCTCCAGGCCTAGCGCCGAAACCAGGGAGATGTGGCCAAAGATGCTGAGAGTGAAACCAAACATGCGCCCCATGGCCTGCCGTACCTGCAGGTTGAGACTGCGTACGAAAGACACGGGCGAGATATATTAATGCGATTTGGATGGGAAATGTGGATATTGGACAATGTTAGGTCGGGGCGCGGGGGAGAGGGTGGGAGCTTGGAGGGGATTGGAGAGGGGAAGAGGTCGAAGGGCCGGGAAAGCGGAGGGACTGTGTCTTGTGTGTTTTGGACACAACACCGTGTCGTGTGGCGGGTTCTCGCCATGAACCCAGCCATCCCCCAGGTTCCCGTCCGCCCCCCATTACCCACCATCAAACCACCCACCTCAACACCCACCTCAACATCACCACCCACGCCCCACCCCGTTCACCCACCGGCGCAGCCACACGCCCAGCAGTCCAGCCTCCGTCAGGCCCACCGCCCCCACCAGCAGGAACGCAGCCGCCAGTTGGGGCCGGTTCCGGAGCAAGTGGCCAGCAGCAGTGGTAAGAAAGGCGGCAGCGCCCAGGAATAATGTGACACCCTCCACGAACTGAGGGGGGTCGATGTGTCCATGGGTTGGAAGGGGAGTTGGTTAAACTGGGGAGGTGACCAGAGGGCGAAACCTGGTAAAGATTAGGTTGAATGAGAGAGGGGGAAATTAGGGGGTTGCCCCTGGGGTTTGGAGACGCGGTCTCAGGCGTCTTGGTCGTGTTTGGCTCCGTGTGTGTCATTCCCGTCCTTTCTTTCCGTAATCCGCCCCTCATACAGTCTCGTGCGTTACCCTCAGCCCTCACCCTCCCTCATTCTGTCAAGCACTCCGCATGTTGTGTGGGTCCTCCGGGGTCGCGTCGGGCCTCTCGCGTGTCCCGCGTTTTGCTATGGCCCTTCATCCCCATCACACATGACATTCATTTCGCCCTCACCCTCACCCTCACCCTCACCCTCACCCTAGCCCTCACCCTAGCCCTCACCCTAGCCCTCACCCTCACTCTCACCCTCACTCTCACCCGGTACAGTGTGGAGGCCACAATGCCCCGCAGCGTCAGGGAGTCCCCGCTGGTGCGAGCCATGAGCTCCCCGGGGCTGAGGCGCGCGAAGAAGGGCAGGTCCTGAAACACCACGTGCTCGAAGAAGCGCCTGTCCGGGGAGTGGGGGTTAGGCAGGGGTAATATCCAAGCAGTGTGTGTGTGTGTGTGTGAATGTGTGGATGTGCGTGTGGATGTGTGTGTGTGTGTGGATATGTGTGAATGTGAACAGACCGAGTAGGTAAGAGACCGAGCCCCTGCCCATCTTTAGCCCGTCTGCCCCCCTGCTTGCCCACCTGAACAGCTGCCGCATGGCATTTCGCGTGAAGAGCTCCAGGATGACCCCACCCAGCAGGGCGAGGAGCGTGTCCGACAGGATTAGAGCTGGAGGACAAAAAGTCGTCGATCAAAGTGGGGGGGGATTGTTAAGGAGGGGACGGGCGAGGGGTTCCGGAAGGAGGTTGTGGATGAAGGGATTCGGGTGCTTTCCCTGTCCAGGTTCGAAACGTCCATTAGTCTCTTCACCACCGCAGGAACCCGGAGTGCGGACGACGGGGTGGGTGGATGGGTGGGGTGCTGCATGTGGGTGTTGGTGAAGTGGGAAAGCGATGTGGGCGGGTTGTTCTGGTGGAGGATGGAGGAGGAGGAGGTTGACTAGGATGGGGTTCAGTTTTAGCAAGGGTATTTTACCCCTGCCCTGCCGTCCTCACACATGCATACTAACCCCCTCATCTCTCTCGCTTTCCCCCCCTCTCCCCCCTCTCTCTCTCACACACACATCGATACACACACATACACACAACATCACACACACACATACACACAGCGCGGCATCTCGCAACAGCCCTCCTCCGTGTTTGGGAGAGTGCCTCCCTAGGCGGTGTCCTTCCGTTAGCGCAGTTAGGAACCCGTGGGCTAGCGGGGTCAGCTAGCTGCTCTTGGCTCCAACCAGGTCAGGTCCTGAAGTTACATGTGACGTAATCGAACACACACATACACACACACACATTCAGTCCTCTTCTACACGCACATACACAAAACGGCTCTCCGGCCACCTACTCCCCCCCCTGCTCAGCAGGCGGCAGTACTGAGCACCCGGCAGTGGGGGTGCTCTAATAATCCGCACCCGCGGCCAGCAGCAGATTGTTCCAGAACTGAGCCGCGTCCAGTTCGTTGAAGGCGTCAAACAGCGCTGCTTCCACTCGGGGTACACACAGCCGCGCCACCAGCCCAGACAGCATCAGCGCGTAGGCCGACAGCAGCAGCACCTTGTCGATCGCCATCACCCCAATCTGCGCAATACAGCAGGATTATCAGTTTCCTCCCCAAAAGATCATCACCCCATTAACAATACCGCAATCAAGCAAGCAGGCGAGCAGACAGGCGGTATATTGGGAGATGTTTCAGGAGATGATAAGGCCCCTCAGGAGTCTCAGGTACACACGTGTGTACAATTCTGAGACCTTTCGAGGTCGCTCGCTCTCCATCTGTCTGGCCCTCAGCGTGTCACCCGGGGGTATTGGCTGGCAGTCATCAAAACACACACACGCCCACATATGTATGTGTTTAGGCATGCATATACGCACACGCACATTTATACATACGTACATACGTCGTGTAGACCTTTGTGTAGACGATTGTATGTAGGACGATTCTTTCAAATCGGTGTAACACGTGATTTGTATGCGTTCCCACTACAGGCCGCCCTGCTGCGGCCAGGCAGCTGGACGTTGTTATGCGACCATCAAGGTCGCATGAGCATTAGGAAAAGAAAAAACAGCAACGCACGTGTGAGATGTAACCAGCCCAGCCCTGCCCAGCCCAGCCCAGCCCAGCCCAGCCCAGCCCAGCCCAGCCCAGCCCAGCCCAGCCCAGCCCAGCCCAGCCGAGCCGAGAACCCACCACAAACATGACCAGCTTGGCCAATGAGGGCCTCCGCCGCCTTTGCACCTCGTGATCCGCCACCAAGGGTGTGTAATCCTCATCGCCACAGCCGCCAACGTCAGCGTCACAGCCGCCGCCGCCGCCGCCGCCCAGTAGGCTGCCCCTGGCGGCAGACATCTGGAGGGCGAGAATGTGTGCGTGGGCGAGGATGCAGACGTGAAGGACGTGGGAGCATGGCCACCACGAACACGACCAGGATCCACATGATCTGCATGTTTGGGATGTGGCTGCGCATTCCTCCCATCCTTTTCAGCACCACGCCACAAGTCCACGTGTTGCCCGCACTGTACAACAATCGCAGCAACCACCGCAGCTACACCACCAGTTAACCGAATCAACCACCCACCCACCCACCCACCCACCCGCCCACCTGGTAAAATGAGCCCAGAGTATCCAGCGCCGTCTCAGACTGGGGGGCCGCTGACAGGTAGGTGCTCGAGTACTGCAACCAGTAGGAAACGTTTTCGAAGGCGCCCCCGCTGCCGCCGCCTCCACCACTGCCGCTGCCGTCCGCTGGCCATTGCTTAGGCAGTCCAGTGGGGCCGCCACCGCTGCCACCTCCGCCGCCACCACCACAGCCGCCGTCACCGTCGGCGCCGTCCGCAAGCGCATCGGATGCAGGCGCTGACGTGATTGCCGGACTCGGTGGGTGGTTGGGCTGTGGCGCCAGCCGTCGCCACGTCGGCGGCCTCGATGGCGCCAGCGGCATATAGCTCCCAGCCGTGAACTGGGGCGGCGGGCTGGTGTTGGCGTCGTCCTCAGCCGCATGCTCCGCCGTATCTTGTCTCGCCGTACAGCCCGTTGGTGTGACGGTGGTGGCAGCGGCGGCTGCGGGACGGCCGCAGGTATCGCTCTGCATGGAAACCCCAGCCGCAGGCGCCATCGTTAGCGCCGGGGCCTGCCGCTGCGGCGGCGGCAACGTGGCGCCGTCGATGGGCGGCGCTAGCGCGTCCCCACTTCCAGCGTCGCACTGCGGCGGCTGCAGCGGTGTCGGGCGGTCTCCCTGGTAGAGCTGTTGATGGTGGCCGAAGCAGCTCGTATCGATGAGCTCCTTCATGGCCACGTTGTGGCTTCTGCGGTGGAAAAACAAACTTAGGAGAGGTAATTTACCACTATCGTTAGATCAGCCGTGCTGCGAAGATGTGTGAAGGAAAAGGAGGAGGTATTGTTGAGATGCAGGACGCTAAAATGTGGTCAGGTGTCGAAGTGAATTTGCCCGAAAACATCGAACACTGCAGAAAGGCAGCCGTTGAATGCAAGACTGGGAGGTGGAGGGGGCCTGGGGAACTCTGATCTCTGACCTCTGGCGCTGTCGCACTGAGCCAGCAAGCTCCTGAAGAGAATGCTCCAAAGTGCTCATTCCGCCGCCGCCGCCAGCGCCGCCGCCACCGCAAACACCACCGTCGCGAGCACCGCCACACGGTGTTGTCGTCACTTCCGCCGTCTCACATCGCCCTTCCGTCTTCGCCACGCCGTTGGCAACGCCTTCCCTCTCTCCTCCGCCTCCGCCTCCTCCTTCCAAGCCACCGGCGGTGCCGCCGCCGCCGCCGCCATAACCACGTGCCGTTCCCGTCAGCCTCACGTCAGACGAGTCCAAAGGCGCCAGACTGCAGGCGTTACAGCCGGCGCTGAGTGGCAATAGCGCCTCACGCAGACGCTCGACCTCCCGCTGTAGCTCATCCTCAACGCCGCTAATTTCGCCCAGTTGCGGCCCAACGGCAGCGGCGACGGCGGCAGCGCCTCGGCCGCCGCCACTAACTGTCGGGCCATTGCCGAAGGTTCGTTGCGAGCCCGATGCCGCCTCCACGTCGTTGCCTACCCGGCGGCGGATGACTTGATACACCCGCCCTCCACCTGCAGCTGCGGCAGACTGCATCGCCTCCCAATGCAGGCTGTTGTCAGCTGAGGTCCGCCACGTATTGGATGTACGTATGTGTGTGATGAGGGGGCAGAACATTGCTGGGTGCATTACCGTGACAAAACGCATAAAGGGCAGCGCGCAAAGTGCATGAAAGATGTCGACATATAATAAACAAAGGTCAGGGAGCGACATTTCACACCGTGCGTACATACTTACATACACACGTACATACGGCTACAAACCCTTGTCACCTCCCCTGGCCCTATTTTGGCAGCGGCCAGCTGACGCCGCAAACAGCAGGTACCGAACCCAACCCAACCCAGCCCAACCCAATTGTTGCCGCCAACCGACACTAATGCCCCACTTGCTCTCACAGAACCACAGCACCACCGACACGTACACCCGCTGCTCACCCGGCACGTACGGCATCTCCGGGCTGGCGCTGCGGGCACCTGGCGGCGGCCGTTGCGACTCAGCGTCGCTGCCTCTCTGCCGCCCAACAGATCCCGCCAGGGCGCCGCCACCACCGTCGCCTCCGCCGCCGCCGCTGTCGCTGACGGTGGCCCATGGAGGGGGTGCGGCAGGTGCCTGGGCTGACTTGAGGGAATGTACGGCAGCGGCGGTGGCTGAGCGCAGGAAGGCTGAGGGGTCGAAGGTGGGTCCGGAGTCAACGAAGTCCACTAGCGACGGCGGGAACGTCAACAGGCCGAGGTCCAGGACACTCTCCTCGGACTGAACAAAGCCTATTTAGGCAACCATGGCAACGTGCAGCGGGAGGGAAAGGTGAGGGGAAGGGATTTAGGATGTAGAGGCGAGCGCGGAGAACGTGGACCGTGGACCGCTCCACCGTAATTGCTGCTCACACCATCAGCCACTCCAGCACCCCAAAACGGGTGGGCAGCTACGTGCAGCTACATGTCAACATGTATCCTTTGCCGGGAGGGGGGGACTACCTGCTAGCCAGTCTACTACCTCTTATCCAGTGTCTTTTCTCCCCCCTGCCTGTTCCCCCGTCCACAGCACCATTGCTCGCTCAGTCAGTCAGTCAGTCAGTCAGTCAGTCAGTCAGTCGGTCAGTCCGTCCGTCCGTCCGTCCGTCCGTCCGTCCGTCAGTCAGTCAGTCAGTCCGTCAGTCAGTCCGTCAGTCCGTCCGTCAGTCCGTCCGTCCGTCAGTCCGTCCGTCAGTCCGTCAGTCCGTCAGTCAGTCCGTCGGTCCGTCCGTCCGTCCGTCCGTCCGTCCGTCCGTCCGTCCGTCCGTCAGTCAGTCAGTCCGTCCGTCAGTCCGTCAGTCAGTCCGTCAGTCAGGCAGGCAGCCAGGCAGGCAGCCAGACAGCCAGGCAGGCAGGCAGGCAGGCAGCCAGGCAGGCAGGCAGGCAGCCAGGCAGGCAGGCAGGCAGGCAGGCAGGCAGGCAGGCAGGCAGCCAGCCAGCCAGGCAGGCAGGCAGGCAGGCAGGCAGCCAGCCAGCCAGCCAGCCAGGCAGGCAGCCAGCCAGCCAGCCAGCCAGCCAGGCAGTCAGTCCACGCCATGCGCCCTTTCCCTTCCCAGTCTGTCCTGGCCTCTCATCCCGCACTCGCTCAAACTCTTCACCCACCCATCCATCCATCCCCACCCCCCACCCCCACCCCGTACCTGTCCGTGCAGACCGCATCTCCCCCGCAATCAGTCGGGCTGCAGTGGCCGCCTTCTTGCCCTCCACCCAGCGCTCCACACCCTCAGTGTCCAGGGAGCCCAGAACGAAGCGCCCACCGTGGCGGGACACCTGCGCGTTCACCTGCAGGTCACAGCACGCGAACAACAGGAGCGGCAGCAGGGGCAGGGGCAGGGGCGGGGCCGTCAATGGCAGCAACAGAAGCAGCGGCCAATTGACAGCAATCGCAGCTGGCAGCACGAGCAAACAAACAGCAGCGCCCGCCACCCGGCTGCCCAAGGAAAGTTCCAGAGAGCAAGGGGGCAACTGGCTCTGGCCTCTCACCTCACCTCACCCCACCTCTCTCCCTGTACTTGTTTCATTGGGCCCCCCACTCCTTACGTATCTCCACCCTATTTCCCTCGCCCAACCCCAACGCACACCTCCTGCAGCAGCAGCCCCCACAGCATGTTGACACCACCCGCCCGGCGGAGCTCCCTTCGGTGCAGGAAGCTAATGGCCACCAGGTGGTCCACCGCAGCCTATGAGGTCAGAGGAATGCGGCAGGTCAGGTTAGTTTGCAGATGAACCGATACCCCAGTACGGACGTCAATCCTGTGTTCTGCACACAACCTGTTTTATTTTGTTGCATCCTTTTCGTCACAAAGGTCCTTCCGACCTTTATGGCGACACGGTGGTACGGCAAAACACACGCGGCAGGACGTTCCTTCACCCGCCCTTCGTCCCATGGCGGTACCTGCATTTTGCGGTCGTCCTCGTGGAAGGGCTTCAGCACCTTGAACAGCTCCACCCTGGACAGCCCCACTCTGCGGTAGTGGGACCATGTGGACTGGTCGAATGCGTAGTCGCTGCCGTGGCCCTTGAGATAGCGAACCAGGGACCGAACCACCTGCGCGCGCAGGCGGAGCGGGAGTGGGTTCTCCAGGGGGAGAGGGGACGAGCTAACGAAGATGCATGGAGGCGCAGAGGCGGTGGGTGGAAATGAAAGATCTAGGTCAAAGGTCTAGGCGGGCGACGGGGTCGGTGTGGTTGCAGGAAAAAGGTGGCGGAGGATGTGAACTGGACGGATGCGGCGGAGAATGTGGGGGTCCCCAGGATGCGGCGGGTTCGTCCCCCGGTCAAAAATGGCGCTAAGACGACGTACAGCCGCCAATTCAGATATACCTAGCCTACCCATCTGGCCCCACCTCACCTGCTGACTAGCAGTGTAGGGTGTTCCGTCCTTCTCCAGCTCCCATACCAGGTGGAACTCAGTTTTGAGCGCGTGAAGACTGGGCCGAATCAGGTCCGCAGCCACGTCCTTTCGAGCCTGATGGGTTTTAGGGGGTTTAGGGTTGGGCCCAGGTGGGTTGGGTGAGTTGGGTCTGGAGTGGAGGTATTTGGAGGTTGTGGCTGATCGGCTCCGGATAGAACCTGGACTGGGATAGCGCTTGGGAGTAGGGACGGGATGTACGTTTGTTTAGCCAAACAACGTCTGTTTCCGACACCGCCGTGGATCACCCAAGAGCAGTGCTACATGCGTGGGTAGGCCGGCTGTCGACCACACCACCACCCACCACACCCCGACCATCACCCCGACCATCACCCACACAGCAGGCCTCACCGTTTCCCCCCCACCCCACTCCGCACCGCACCCCTCACCTGCTCCGTGTAGTAGAGCTCCGTTCTATCTGGAGCCGACCTGAGTATGAGCACCTGATGGGCAAACACCCGTGTGTGTCGGCAATCGGGACAAGAAGGGGAGGGACGAGGAGGGGAATGCAGACGGGCCTGGAGAGAAAGAGAAGAAAGGGAGTTGCGTTCCGGGAACTGAAAGGCTGAAATATCCATCCCAGCCAGCTAGGCAGTATTGGAACATAAACATGTATGCAGCTTCAGTACCAACACATGCAGCGCGGGGTGATGACCTCCCACTGGCGGATTCATGCACATGCACGCATGTACAGACGATGTACGGTATAGTGGAACATACAACGAACAGGATGTGCACCCGTACATATTGAGAATGATACCCTGCCCTGCCCACCACGCGCCCATGTCTAAGTATATACCCATGCCAAGTACCATGCTAAGTACCCATAGCCTCACGCACGTTGTCATGGCAACGGTCGCGTGGCCATACCTCCGCCACATGCATGTATCCGCAGATAGAGACTATGCATGTGTGCAGTAGGGGGTATAGCTACTGATATACCTGGCGCTCCACCTCACGAACACCGCCGCAAAGCAAAGCTCACCTCGTTTTGAGTCACGTCTCGACTGATGAAGTACTCGGCCAACCATTCCTGCGAAAGGCGGGGAGGGCGCAGCGGCCAGAACGTGGGCTGCATCCCCCCATCCGGCAGATCCCCTGCACCGCTGCTTGCGGCCGCTTTGAAGTGCATCGCATCGCGACATGCCAGGAGTTAGTTCATCTCGCCCATGAATGGTTCCAGAGATACGCCTCCGCAGATAACCGGACCAGGGGCATATCGCATGTCGCTCACCTTCCTGAGCACCTCCACGTCCTGAGGCTCCAGAACCAAGCCCCCCAGTCGGCAGCCAGCAACTGCCTCCCGTGCCGCGCGGTGAGCCTCGGGATGAAAATGGGCGGGTAGGTTGAGTGCGTGGGTGGGTGGAATGGAGTTTAGGAAACGATTCCTGAAACGGTGAAATCTCTGGGAGGGGGCGCCCTTCGTGAGGCAGACCGCCGTTCGCCACGCCACCAGCACCGCCCAGCTGGTTACTCCTCAGCCATCCGCGACAGCAGCAACGCAGCAGCAAAGCAGTACACAGACAGGCAGGCAGGCAGGCAAAAGGTGGAAACCGCCCACACTTACCTCGGGGTTGTACTGCTCGACGAACAGCAGCACATCGATGTCGAAGGAGCCAGCAGGCTCGGGCCGGCCGTACTTCTCCTTGAGCAGCTTCCGAGCGATGCCTCCCTTAATGCCCATGCCTGCATATGTCCGTTCGAAAATAGCGGCGGGTAAGGGGCCTCCAGCTGTGTTTTGCGTTTGCGGCCTTGCTTCTTTGCCTCAATGTAAATACACGCAGGACAGCTGTTCTTTCCGGCCGTATCTGGGACATGACCATTTTGGGAGCGTCGTCATGCGCCACCTGCATCTGCGTCAGCTCCCATCCCAGACCTGGATTCCTAGGTCCAATGGATCCACCTTGGTTCCGCCCTGGATCCACCGCGCTGTATCCACCTATCCTGAATCCAACCCACGCGGATCCACCCGCTGGGATCGACCCCCGCTGGGTCCGCAGCCCTGGATCCGAATGCGGTTGATCCACCCGCCCTGCGATCCACCCACCCACGGGCAGGTCCTCTACGAAAGCAGCAATGTGGGGCAAGCTGCTCCACAGCTGCCCCAGTTCCAGGGGCTCCACACACACCCTCACAGGCTCCGAAACCGGGGGGTAATGCACCTCGACCACGGGTCGAGGAGTGAACAGCGCCGGGATGAGCTGCCAACGCTGAAGCGCGAGAGCAGGTAGGAAAAAGGGTGAGGAGATATCGGAGTTTGGGATGCCGTGAGAAAAAGGGAATGGGTTTTGGGGGTTCTGCCCCGGGAATGGTGTGGTTTCGCACGTAAGGTAAACCGTGACGTACGGATAAGGTGACGGGCCACAGGAGGCGGGAGGGTCGAGGGTTCTATAAGAGACGCACATTGCTGGAGGGCTTCGACCCAGGCCGCGAACCGCACGGTTGGGTATAGGATGATGATGGTGAATACGCCGCGGCGGGTTGATCTACGTCGTGCCCCGCGCAAATGGAAAAGCAAGCCAGGCACAAAGAGCCAGGCCAGCACAGGCACAGGCACCCACGATGCCCTTTGTCGCCCTCATCCTCACTCGCCATTCTCGTTGTTTGTATCGTTAGGTAAAACTCTCAGGCAGAACACTACTACGGGGTCACACACACGCACACACACACACACGCACACACACACACAGAACACTACTACGCTCCCCTTCGCGCCGCTCTTGTTGCCCCACTCAACCTGCTGGCTGATCGACTGACAACTCGCTCACCTGTAGGAGGGTGTATCCGACAGCTGCGGCTACAGCCATCAGCACCACCACCGAGGTCACTCGGAGGATGATGTCCCAGGGCAGCGTCACAACTGCGGACCGGAGGACGCCATGGCGGGGTAGCTGGGTGCTGGTTGCCCCTTGCCTAACCTTTCCAATGTCTTGGAGAGGGGGGGAGAGCAGGAACAGGAGTCCAATCCTTTCCCTATCCCTAACCCTAACCCTAACCCTAACCCTAACCCTAACCCTAACCCTAACCCTATCCCTATCCCTATCCCTATCCCTATCCTGGCAAAACCCAATTTGTTTTTTGTTTTTTGGGGTTTCGCAATACCCAATTTCTCGTTACCTTATCCCCTACAATCAACCCCAGCGACCCCACCATCAGACGCCTTCACCTGCATCACTGCTCGCATAGGCGGGAAAGGCCACCAGATCGTCGGGATCCGATCCACATGTGCCGTACAACAGCCGCCGCCCCGGACCCGCCACGGCACTGCCGCCACCGCCATTGCAGCCGTTGTCGGAAGCGCTACCGGTGCTGTTGCATCCAAGCCCTGCTGCGACCCCTGCCTCTGCTTCCGCCGCCTCCCTTAATTCAGAGGTGATGGCGGAACAGTCCTGCAGCTGCAGGCCTCGCCGAGAGAGGCAGATACGGACCTCCTGGAGGACGGGCGTTCCGCCACGTTCGGCGGAGGGGGCGCAGGCCAGGCCGATATGCGGGTTGAAGGCAGAACCGTAGGCACCCGTCAATGCATAGGTCACCTGCACATTTCCAGGGAGCACAGTAATACTGAATAAGGCTAGTAGTTCGTCGGGGAGTCCACGCACCTGTGGACGCGATAAAGGGAGGTGCCAGGCAGCCTCTTGACACAAAGCCGCGCGCATGCACACCCGGGTTCACACATACGCATAGCCGTATGCCCGCATATTCGGACATCCGTACGAACATACGGAATGCCGTACACCAACCTGCTTCAGCGTGTAATGTCGTTCGTTGGACGGCTGTATGCGGGCTGCGGCCAGAACATTCCGTACGTCCACGTGGAGTGCTGCCGCGTACACTGCCGTAAAGTACAACAGCTGGTCCATTTCGGAGCAGGTGCCGTGTCTGCGCGCGATGAACGAACGGGCGAGATGACGCGGGCGAATGAACGGGCGAGCGGGCACCATGACGACATGATCGGTGGAATAGAACAGCGCGACGCCTTAGGAGATCTGAGAGGCGGGAGGCTGTGGTACGGTAGTACAGCTCAACCCGCCGACAGTAGCCCCTCGACATTGTGAATGCGTCCGGACAAGACAGATCAACCGACCGACAGATAGGTAGACAGATTTACAGACAGACAGACAGATAGACAGACAGATAGACGGACAGGCAGGGAGGCAGACAGACAGACAGACAGACAGGCAGACAGACACAACGAAACCGGATATAACGGTGAGGTCGAGGCGTAGAGAGGATTTTGTGCAAGATGGGACATAGCGAAGAAGACAAAAGGGAAACACAAGCGGGATGCTCAGGTGCGCTGTACGGTTCATAGGGTGGTGTTAGAAATACGGGCGCCGTCGGGTAGCCCACGTAAGATGCATGCGTGTCAGCTGATTGTGGGGCAGGAGCAAGGTCCAGTACTTGGGAAACTTCCGCTACGTGCTTTATACATAGAGAACGCGCGTCCTCACGCACACAGGACGTGCGCTAACGTATGCCTGGTGGGTACTGGTGGGTACTGAAGTCCGAATGGTCCGAATCAGCAACACGAGTTTTAAATTTTTAACCGCTGGATTGTGTTGGGGTTCCGGGCTATTTCTGTAGCTGCCCCTAGGTGCCTGATATGGATCTTATCATTTACGTTTTTTCAACATTTCCTGCCGATCTACTTAATTTTTCCTCCTATCTACTTACCAATACATCCTTATTCCTATCTGGTTACTACCCATCCTTTAATTTTCCCATGTTTAATAAGTTCCAAAGGTGAGTATTGTATTAGAAAACGGCATCCAATAGGTGCCTTGCGTTTTTAACCCCAAATGCCTTCATGCCCTGCAGCCTCCGCGGCTTCACCTCGCCAGCTCTCGTCGGCTTTGCTGCTATCCTTGGCTTGCGGCCGGGCGTGCTGCTGTTGCTGATGTAATCAAATACGAAACATCATCCCGCATCGCACCTGGCCCATTCGTGACTCCAAAAGCTGTGGAGGCTGGCTGGGAAAGATGCCGTTACGGGGCTGCGAAGGAAGTAGGCGAGGCTCGCCTCGAAAGGGCCAAGCTGTTGGGAGTCGAACAGCTCCTTCGTACAGAAAGAAGGAATTGGACCTGTGTACCTGGACATTCGCGGAGCACATCTCGGCCTTTTCAGTTCTTGACACGGTGCCTAGTTGCACAGTTGCGCTCTCGCAAAGGGCCGCGCTCGCTACGAATTAACACAAATTCTTGCGATTATTGCGTGGCGAATGCATGCTGAGCAAAATAAAGTTTTGATCTACTTTCTGATATGGTCTATGCAGGCGTACGTCCCTAGGCTTAATCCAATCGACGGCGAATGTAGCGTGTTCGCGAACTGTCATAAAAGTGCTACGACACGCAAGAACGCTTCTGAATTTCAACGACAGGAATAAGAGAAATGAAAAACACTTTCAATTCATGCAAATCGGCGAGAAACTGAAGTTGATAGGAGCGTCGTCGATTCCGTAACTGACAACTGTGTAAAACGTGAAGACGTGAATCTCTTGACCAGCCTCCGCATCTAGCCCGTAATATCTAGTTTGGTCACGCTCGTTTGCTTCCGCACCTTGCAGGCCATAGACCGTGACACCAGAAGCCGGGCGACGCGACGCCTGCGGCAATTATATGACGCGCGGCGCCGTGCGATGGCTTGGAGATTACCGAAGGTGGCCAGTATGTAGAAAGTATATAAAAATCAAAATTGAGCGTTGCGATGGGTGTGGGAATCTCTGCGAAGTCAAGTGGCAAAGGTGGCTGTCGGGCTTGCTCGTTCCATATCGAGCCTCCGGTGCCATACAATGCACTGGAAGGGGCATTGAAGGCGAACATCAAAGCGAGTATGAGGCGCTGCATCTAAATTAGGAGAAACAGCACCGCATAAGATACCCCAAGCGCGCGGGCGAAATTAATTCTACAGATAGTCAAGGAACACGATAGGAGAAATGCAAGATCATTATAAGCATCACTCCATGGCCGATGTGCGTATTGAGGACGTAACGGGCATTTGTGGCTCCTTGGCTCGGCATCACAGTTCGTTACCGTTGTACTGCGATACCTGTGATCCTATTTGAGAACATGACCATTCCTAACCCCTATTGACTCTAGGTTTAATGGGGCTTAGATGCCTTACCTATCCTGTATGAATATCCAATTGATATGCAAACATAGCTGCAATGCAGCATCCAACATGGAGCACGAAAATTTCGCGTTATGTAATATGAAGACTTGAAGTTAACTTCAATATCTGCAGGAACTCCATATAACAAATGACACAGCTGGCTGTTGAGGATTTCCCAACCACGTCAGCGGGCGCGCACGCGGATGCACGACTCAAAGATAAAGGACAGCTTTACGATGAGGCCATGTTCCTGGCTTGTCGGAGGCTTCCCAAAGTTGAGCTGCACGCGCACCTCAACGGGAGCGTGCGCCCGCAGACAATTAGGTGCGCGCGAGGCGCCATCCTACCCTGTACCCCTCCACCCAGCCTGCTATCGAGCATGGAGACCCTAGCTCCACCCTGCATCCTGCATCTTCAGCTACTGACTGCCCTGAAAGACACTCCTTCGCAACGGTGTTACAGCGGGAACTTGACACATGCGCCCGGGAGATAAAAACGTGTCGTGTGCCCCAAGGAAAGGAAAGCGGCAAAACCGGACACGAAGTCCACACTACACAAGTCCGTACTGATCGGGAGGATATCATTCCGGTATTGCGGCGGAACTCGGCTTTGCTGCAGTAACCGGTCTAAGGATTTTCCTTGCCTGGGAAAGCGGGGGGGGGCGGATACTCATGGAAGTCCCAGGGGCAGCCGTACGCCCCCCGGGGTAACCCCCCTTGGCTGCCTCATAATGACATTACGTGGGTAAGTGAGTCCACCCCACCCCCCCTCCCCCTTACCCTCAAACCCCGAACCCCCCACCCCCAGGAAGATCCTGGAGGAGCGCTCCAGGGCGGGTGAGGCCCTTCCGGTGACTGAGCAGCAGTTGCAGGACATTACAGGTATCTGGGAAAGGGGGTGGGGGGTTACCCGGGGGGCTGCCCGGGGGGGATGGGGGTTCGGGTCGGCGGCCAGCTCACCCACAAACCTACAGACAGATAGACAGGCAGACAGATAGGTAGATAGGCAGACAGACAGATGGGCAGACAGACAGGTGGATAGACAGACACACACAGGTGCCCCTCATCACCCCCCCTTGATACACACACACATGCATACCCCTCCACGCCGCAGCCTGTGGCGACCGCTCCCTGGCTGACTGCTTCCGGCTGTTCGACCTGATCCACGTCATCACCACCACCCACTCCGCCATCGCCCGCATCGCCGCGGAGGTGGTTCGGGACTTCGCCGAGGACCGCGTGGTGTACCTGGAGCTGCGGACCACACCCAAGGTGAGCTGGTGGGGGGGAGGAGGAGGAGGAGGAGGAAGGGGAGGGGGAGGAGGAGGAGAAGGAGGAGGAGACGGAGAAAGAAGTTCGTGTGGGGAGTCACCTGGGAACCTGGGAACCATACATGGAGGCACACACACACACATATATCAGTTAAGCACATCAACGGATATATGCAGGCGCGCCCGGAGTACGACATGACGAAGCAGTCGTACATCGAGGCCGTGCTGGAGGGCATCGAGCTCGGGCTGCGGCAGCTGCGTCACCATCAACACCGACATCACGACCATCGAGACGCGCGATGCAACGGCGTTGCAGCCGCAGCCGCCGATGCTACTGCAGCCGCCAACGCCGCCAATGCAGACGAAGCTCCTCCAGCCCCAGCTCCAGCAGACATCATAGCGGTGAAGCTGCTTCTCAGTATCGACCGGAGAGAGGACTCAGCGGCCGCCTTGGAGACGGTGAGGTGTCGTACAGCTGTACGGCTGGAGGGGAAGTGCATGAACTCCAGGCGATCCGCTGGCGCCCAAGGCTGCTGAGTCAGGGGTGTCTGGAGTTCTGAATGGACACCGCTACAGCCACTGTCCATACCGCTACAGCCAGTGTCCATACCGCTATTGCCACTGTCAATTAGGGTTGGCACGGGTACTATACTAGAAAATAGTGCTATACTAGGATAGTACTATTATATACTATGCGGGTCTTGACAGTGGCACTAGTTTACGACGCTCGTCCCGTGTCCGTACATAGTAAACTAGCATAGTAAGGATAGTACTATGATGTGTGAAACAGGGGGGTGTATCTTCGCCCGTGGCAGCTACCCTGCGAAACCCTGCCTTCCCCGGTGTTTCGGGGCACCCTCATCCAGTCACCCTAGTCAACCTCTCAGTGGACCGCTCAGGTTCCGCACCCACCACCAGCATCCAACGGAAACTGCCGGGTCGACAGCGGCCCAACTCCATTCCTGGTCGGCTCGCAGGTTAATTTTATCCCAGGTCACCACCGTCCATCAACTAGGGGCGCATTGCCTTCCACCATCGGAAGGACTTTGACCCTAACGGGTATCGATCCCGGGATCTCCCGGGGGCAATGGTCGTGCCTTACCAGTAGTGCCAAACCCTTGTGTGATATTATGTACTATGTATTACAACATGTGTCAATGCCGCTGCTGCTGCTGCTGATACTCTATACCGCATGCAGCGACACCAGCTACTGCCTGCCTGCCTGCCACGCTAATGTGGCTAATGTTTATTGTCGCAGCTACTGCCACTTCCGCATTTCCAGCGGTTCGCCCTTTCCCCCTCTCTCCCCGCTGGAGTAGCCCTCTGGAGAGATCTTGCTGTTCGTCCGAACGATGCAGGTCCAGCTGGCTGCCCGGTATAAGGCCCGCGGGGTGGTGGGTGTGGACCTGTCCGGCAATCCGTACGTGGGGTCGTGGGGGCAGTGGCGGGAGGCGCTGGCGGCGGCACGAGCTGCCGGACTGGGGGTGACCCTCCACGCGGGGGAGGTGTACTCCCCGGCGGAGACCGCCCGCATGCTGGAGTTCCGCCCTGACCGGTTGGGACACTGCTGCTACCTGGATGACTCCCTGGCGGCGGAGCTGCGGGCGAGTGTGTATGGCTGTGTGGATGTGGGGGTGTATGGGTGTGTGGATGTGTGTGCATCCCAGCATGTGTTCAAATGATTTTAGGGCCGCGAGACGCAAGTGGTGGTTATGTCACGTGCGCAGCTCTACGAACTCGTGTGCCGCTGTGCTTGAAATGAACTGTTGTCTGTGTTTGTGTGTGTATGTGTGTGTACGGCTGGGTTATGGTAACGCAATAGTGCGCGCACGCTTGGGGTTACAGCTAGGGGAGGAGCTGTACGGATTTAAAAACGGACGCGGGGAGCCCGTGTTAATCCGTTGAAAGGGGGGAAGGATATCCGAGGGGGGAGCGTGGGGGGACGTGTGTGTTTTGTTCTGGATCTCATCCCAAGTCCCCCCCCTTCCCTCCCCTCGTCTCATCTCTCCAATCCTTCCCCCAATCCTCATTTCCCTCGCCCCTCCCCCCAGGCCAGCGCCATTCCTCTGGAGCTGTGTCTCACCAGCAATGTGTTGACACAGTCAGTGACCTCCTACCCGGAACACCATTTCGCGGAGATGTACGCGGCGGGGCACCCCGTGGTGCTGTGTACGGTGAGGCAGGGGGAGGGGAGAGGGTTGTGCAGCGGGGTGGCGGGGCGGGGGGAATGACGGGGCGATGGCGCGGTGTGGCGACGCGAAAACCCAAACCTGGGTCCGGACTTCGGCGCAAACGATAGACCCAGCGCGAAGGAAAGGGAAGGAAAGGGAGGTCGAGGGGGGAACAGGAAGGAGCCTGGTGGTGTACTCCTGGATAAGCCGGATCCGGATCTCTGGATCCGAATCCATTCACCCTGTCTTAGGTCCGTTTCTCGCTTTCTTTTCCCGCTACGTCACCTGCAGTGTTGATGACACGCCCTCTAGGGAGGGGTGACCTCCCGCCCCAACCCCGGCACCCACCCCACAACCCACGCCGCCACAGCACCCCTCTTGCTTCTCCTGCATGTGCTTCCCCCCAACGACAACGCACACCGGCCAGCTACCAACAATCAACAACCAACGAGAACCGGACCTGTCCAAATCAGCATCACCCTCCCTGGCCCGCAGGATGACTCAGGCGTGTTTGGTACGACACTGTCCAAGGAATACGCCATCGCAGCGGCGGCGTTCAAGCTGCCGCTGGGGGCGCTGTGGGAGCTGGCGCGCAGGAGCGTGGAGTTTGTGTTCGGGGGCGAGGAGGAGAAGCGGCGACTGCGGGGCCTTATGGACCGGGAGCGTCCGCTGATGTTGGGGGCTAAGATCGAGAGGGGAAACGATGAGGCGTGAGGGGCGTGTGTGTGTGTATGTGTGTATGGGGGAAGAGCGTGGTGTGCAGCGCCGTTTGGTTGATGTTTATTTATCGTTGGGACTTGGGTGTGTGTGGAGGGCTGAAGAAATGAATACGTACATGGCGAGCTGGCGTTACTAGGGTTGGATTTGAAAGCTTTCCGCATGGCTTTTCATGTCCTTACATTTATCAATGGTGGTGTCAATTCATGTAAAACGTGTCATGTCGCGAAATTCTGTGTGTGTGAGAGAGTGTGTGTGTGTGAGTGTGAAGTTATAAGTTATGATTTGCTATTGACTGCGGCTGATGTGACCTGCGACATTATTCCGACACACACGACGAAGCAACCGAAGGGGGGAATATACGTACGGGGGGTAGGGGTGATGGTCCCCTGACCGCCGCCTAGGAGCCACTTCTCCTTCATTCCTTCTTCATTACTCGCAGGTTATTCTCTTTGTCAACAAGCTCCTCATACTCCTGCTGCTGCTGCTGCTGCTGCCGCCTCCAAGTCTAACGCACTCGCATCTAGGCGGGACCATCGATATAACGCCAACAGGAATGTTATTTAAAGGGAGTAGGGGAAGGGACACACTCACTCTCTCTCACACACACACACACAACAAACCACATCCCACTGCGCATTCCCTTCCTTTTTCCCTTCCTCCCCATCCCTTCGTAAGGCCCTCATAACTTCGCCAGACCGTTAGACACCTGTACGGCACAGAAATCCCCTCCCCCCCACGCCAACATGGACCCGGACTGCTCAACACAAAAGGCACACACACAGCCTCATTCATGACACGAACCACCGACGCACCTTCACACGGTTCCTCACACCCTCTCGCGGCCCCCTCCCACCTCTCAACCTTCCCACCCCCTTCCTCCCTCCCCCACACACAAACCGTAGCAAAACCCCTGTAAATAGGAGTAAGTAAATTTCGCCCTAGGTGAAATCCGTACTTGTACGAATCGGCGAACACTCGGGGACTTCAGCTGACCTTACGAGGCACGCGGCGCACGACAAAGATCAAATCCCTGCCCCTTAACATTTTATTGACGACATTTCCTCTTAAACCCGAAACTGAATTCAAAGTTACAAATGTTGAAATGAATTAGGACTCCAGAGCCTCAGCTACTGTTTGTTGCGACCGAAACCGTCATCCCACTCCACAAGCTCCACGGTGCCGTCCCGCAGCAGCGGCTCAGCTTCCTCTGAGGGCAGGCTGATGATGGTGCCGTACAATATGGTAGCTCGGCCGTAGCTCAGAATGACCTCTCCTGAATCCTTGAGCCCCCGCACGTTGACGAAGGTGTCCTTGGGAGGCCGAGTGTCCTGACGGGTTGGGGGGCCCGCGGGTTTGGGGTTTGGGAAGCGATGTTGTTGTTGTTGTAGATACAAGGAATAGTTACGGAGATGGGCAGTGTTTGGGGGTTATGAGGAAGCGCGGGAAGAGAGGACCGCCCTGAGGTGACCTACCTACCTACCTACCTACCCACCGGCCTCTGCGACCATCGTCAACCCACACAGCTCCTCCAATTCCCCCTCCTTTCCCCCACCCCGCCTGCCCCTTTCCTCCCCCTCCCTCCCCCGGCTCACCAGCGTGAGATCCATACCCACTCCCTCCGCTCGGGACATGAAGGTGGACAAAGCTCGGGAGTAGTCCGTGTAAAACTGCAAACACACGCAAAACACACTTCACACAGACTCAAACACACGCGCCCAAGGTAGGCCAACCCGAGTGGATCAACCGACGAGCGGTGGCGGTGGCGGCGGCCGGACACGTGGCGTGACGTGACATGGCACATGCGGCGGAGAAACGACAGACAAACGTACGAACATGCGGATGGGCAGCACCATGAAGGGGGCTTCAAAGGGGCGAATGACACAATACGGCATCCACCAGGCAGTAGCACCGGTCCCAGCAATGCACTAACAATAACAACAGCATTAGTAGCAGTAGCACAGCAGTGTCCTCCGGCTACCTGGATCTCGCTCTGGCAGCATCGGGCCCTCTGAGCCTCGGGCAGGGTGCGCTGACACCACCGCATGTCCCGCAGCCGCTGCATGCGCTCGCTCCTGACCCAGAGCAGGGGTGGGGGTAGGGAGGGAAGAGAGGTAAGGAGAGGGCCAGGGAGGTAGGGTAGGGCCTGCTTGGACCAGGGTTTGGTGGCCGAGGTGGATGGACAATGCGAGAGTGCCCGAGTGGCAGTGGGCGGGGGGGAGGTAGCCGGGGGTACCGCCAAATGGGGACCACGAATTCGGCACTGTTGGGGGAAATGTGTTTTGGGGGAAAGGGGAGTGGAGAGGGCCCCAAGTGGGTTAAGCACCCGTAGCCAGTAGAAGCATCCGCCATACCATACCGTGCCATACCGTGCCAGACACCACGCCGCGTTGAGAGGCGAATCCGCGAATCCACGCCATCTGCAAATACCTCTCCAAGCCGGAGCCCTCAACGCGTCGAATCGCATTTACCCCCCCACACACACTCACCGCCCCCGAAGCCGCGAGAGACTCGACTACTCAGAGCACTCACATGTAGATTAGCAACATGCGCTTGTTGCGTTTGATGCACTCGTAATGCAGGCACATCGTGGTCGCCGTGACCTCATCCACCTCCTGACCCCCCTCCTCGCCTGATTCCTCTTGCTTGCGGCGTAGCTCGCTGCTCGGGAGCCGGGGGCAGGGAAGGGAAGAAGGGGGAAGCGCCGGCAATGTGGCAGTGTGTGCCGATATTTTGTCCTAACCAACCTTTTACGACGGTTCCTGCTCCCCCACAGATCAACAACGGTAAGGAACGTACCTTACGATAGCCTCCGTTTGTGCATTGTGCTCGTCTACCTCGCTGAAAATGAGGCGCACTAACTCCTCCTGTACGATGTGCATCCATGCAGCAGTTTCACCGCCGTGACCCGGATCCGTTGGAACCAAATGTATTCACTATATTCCATACATTGAATGGAGACAGGTCATGATTTCCGTAGCTTTTGAGCTCCTTGAGTAGCTCACGAGCGCGCCGTCCAAGCTCAGACATTTCTGAAATCGTAACAGGCTACGAGTTACATGTAAGCCTTTGCATGGCGATGATAAGATACAAGCATACAGGACAGATGTTCAATTAGCGTCGGACCATCCAAACGAAGATGGAAAACAACGGGTACTTGCGCCTCCCGCGCAAAACCTTCTAAACGTACGGTACGGAAGCTTGCCGGGAACTGAGTCCCAGGAATCCTTTTGTAACGATATTGCCAATCGCAACAAGCATTTCAATATTTTATTGCATCATGTCACCTGGCTGGTGATCTTTTGTTGGAGTCATGAAAAGGTATCCCAATACTATTCCGGACTCGTGCAAGCATTGGTGTTATGCATAAATGCAGCTGATATTTACCCACGCGATGGATTCCAGTACATGGCATGCTTGGTGCTGCCGTATACAGGCGGACCGCCCCAAAGGCCAGAGACCAATTCAACGAGGAAGCGGCCACTGGCAGGCGCAGACAAAATGTACGTCTCTCTCTGTTCCCCGCGTTTACAACTTTCACCCACCTGGCAGCAACCCGTACGGCAGGCTAAGCATCCGCATTCCCAACTCCGACTCTCCCAGCTCTGTGATCGCCTCCTGTGCACCCACAACGCCCGCAGGTACACCACGAATCCTCTCGACAAAGGGATGCAAACCTGCGAGCGCGCCGCTTGCAAGCGGAGCTCTCAGGCATCGGACATGGCGAACTCTCGGAAGCGGGCCTTGCGTCCCTCGGTCCAGACGTGCTTTCGGAGCGTGTTACAAAACTAGCGGCAGCACTGCAGAGCTGGCATGATGCAACCCCCGCGGACTTGTTGATGTTGCTCCAACAGCTAGCGACTCTCCTTTCCACGGGTAGATGTGGGGCAATCGACCTGGCCTGAGGGGTTAAGACAGTCGCGGGCTGCGTCACATGGAACACAGCAGCTGTGTGCACACACATGCACCACACGCGCCGATGCAGGATAGCGCAGAGAAGGCATCCATCAATCTATGCACATGCATACACACAGGCAATTGGGAGGAAAAGGAGGGTATAGTGGAGCTGTGCAGTCCGACACACACTGTCTCAACTCTATTGCCTGTTAAAGCGCGCGTCCAGCAGCATCCCGAGGGGCCTTTCCGGCGGCTGGACACTCACGAGCCCAGATAGGGGGATACAGGGTGGGTGCGCTGGGCCCGGAACCATTGCGATAACGATGCCGGAGCTAAGGGTTTTTAGGGTTTTAGAATCGCGAGATATGGGGCTTATCTGGGACGACAAAACAGACATACGGAAGCTGTGCGGGCCGACAGCAGAGGGAAAAGGTGTTCGAACACCGGAGGCCAGACAGACAGACAGACAGACAGACAGACAGACAGCGGCCGCCTTCGACACATCTTCCTGGCGCCGCACTGGGTGCTGCCCTGCCCAGCCCAGCCCAGCCCAGCCCAGCCCCGGCCGCCTGTTGCTGTTCTGCGGGCAGCAAGGCGATATGGTGGGATATGACTCTCCTCAGGGGCTACTGCTACACCCTCCAGGGGCGGGGGTACTGGCGGCGGCAGCAGTAGCAGCACATGCAGACGGGGCAGCACGATGGCGACGGCGACATCCAATCCACCTGCAAATTCAGCCGTCCAGCCATACCCGAGCTGTCAGTTACCCAGCCAGGGTTTGGTTCAATTGGGAACCAAACCCCCTTCTCCGCCCCTCCCTCTCCGAGTGCTGGTGTCCACCAGCTTCTTCCCTCCTCTGACTCCTCCAGCCTACCTGCTGACCCCCCTCCCCCTCCCTCTCCCTCTCCCCCCTCACGACCGCAGGTGTGTATCAGGCGGTTCAGGCGGCGGTAGCGAGTCAGGTGGTGCCCCTACTGATCGCAATACTGCAGCAAGTTGATTCGCAGCTACCCCCAGGTGAGGTGAGGTGAGGTGAGGTGAGGGGTAAGGGTGGAGTGAGGTGAGGACCGCTGCACGTGTGCTGCCCGACGTCCCCCTGGCACCGCTACAGAGCTCTTGGGGGCTCAGACAGAGGTGAACCACTCCTGGTCGTCTCCACCAACGGGCCCGGGGGTATTGGAGAGCTAGGGGCCAACTTCCTGCCCTTCACCTGCCCGACATACTGCTACGGCTGCTACTTCTGCAGGTGCTGCCCGTACGGCAGCCTACTCTCTGGAGCTAATTGCCAGTGACAGTCTGACGTCAGCACAGGCGGTACGACCCGCTGTACCTGCCTTGACCAACCGCCTTGGAGCAGCGATGGCGGTGCTGGGAGCTACAGCCTGCAGCCCCAGCGGCGGTGGCGGCGAGGCAGCAGCAGCAGCAGCAGCTGTTGCCGCTGTTGGCCCCGCGGACCGCGAGGCGGTGCTGGCAGAGGCCGCACAGCTGGCGGCGCCGTTGGGGGCCCTGGCAGGTTGGCCAAGGGCCTGGGGGCTGAGGGCGGTGAGGATGAATCGGTGATTAATATGGTGTGGGGAAAAGAAGGGGACCGTGAAGGGGCTTTCTGTCTGCTTCCGCACTGCTCAACAACCCTGACCCAACCCAAACATCGCAACCCCAACCCAAACAAACTCGGGCCCCGGTCCAACCCCAACATCCCCATTGCCTGTGGGTTCCCTGTGAAAAATTCATAAAAGCATGTGTAAACGAGTGTATGTGTGCGTGTTTACTTGCGGCCCGTGTTGTATGTGTATGTGTGCGTTTGCGTCTTTTTCCCCCCTCGATGACGACCAGGATGGGGTCAGACTTTCCAGGAGCACCTCACGGAGTCGGGTGCAGCGGGACTGTTGCTGCAGCTGCTGATCGCGACTATGGACTGTGCGGCGGAACGTGTGTCGCCCGCGGTGGATGCGGCGGCGCAGGTGGTGGCGGGGGAGGCGCCGCCGCCGCCGCTGATGGCGCCAGATCAGCTAGCGGCGCTGCAGCACGGTCCGGATCCGCTCGAGGTGCAATGCTGTTCGACGGCGCTGTGGGCTGTGGGCATGATGGTGCGGGACCGAGGCGATGCGGTAGGCTGCTGCTGCTGAGGAGGAGGGGCAGGAGGAGGGGCAGGAGGAGGGGCAGGAGGAGGGGCAGGGTGCAATGTGATGCTGGTGCGGGAAGGTACCTTCCTCTTGCACGTCGGGGGGGCACTTGTTTGCGTGTTAGAGACCCGTCCCGGGAAGCGTCGGGAGGAGGACCTAATTCGGCCGAGGAGTAAACCTGGGAGGAAAGGAGGCGAGCCTAGAATCAACTGCACGGAGTGGACAGCAATTCGCATGTTTGATAGGTAGTCTGATGGGAAGTGGAAGGAGTCATCCTTTCCCCCGCCTGTCCGAAGAGGAGTTTTCGCGTTATTTTCGCGGAAGTCTCGTGGATTGCGGGAAAGAGGGCGTCACGGCTGTCACTGTTTGAGGAGGATGAAGAGACGGATGGCTGCCACTGCTGTTCGATTGCTGCTCCTATTAAGCCCGCATCCCCCGCTCCTTCTCCTCCCCCTCCCCCTCCTCATAATCCGCATTCCTTGGTTATCCTCGTTCCTTTGCCGTCGCTGCTCTTAGTCCTCGTCCTCTTCGTCCTCTTCTTGCCCGGGCTGCTGCCCCTCCGGCCCGCAGGTAGCCCAGTTGGTGACACACCAGGAGCTGGTGGGGGGCCTGCGCCGTGTACTGCTGGCGCCCACACCCTACCCCGAGCTGCTTCGCGGGGTGGCCTGGGTGGTGGCGTTCTGCAGCTCGTGTGGGGGCCCCGCGGCTCGACAGGCTCTGGTAGATAGTGGGGGCCTGCTGCCGGGACTGGTGCTCAGCACGATGCGGTTCGCGCGCTACGCGGTGAGTGGTGATGATGACCCGGTATTGCCATTGGGTAATGGGTTAGGATGGATGAATGAGTGAATGGGTGAGGTGAGGTGAGGTGAGGTGAGGTGAGGTGAGGTGAGGTGTGCCAGGGCCGCTGGTATGTGCGCAGCACCTTTTTAAAGGTGCGGCAGGTCCCAAAGAGTCTTCCTGAGGCGGTGTAAGGACCATGTTTAGCACAGCAATCCCCCTTTCCCCCCTCCAGTCTCGCTTCTCCCCGCTTCGCAACCCAACCCAGCCTCGAACTCCCCCTTGGGGCCCCGCAGGCCGCCCTCGCCGGCGAGGAGCCAACCCTAAGATCCGCCACCCAGCCCCTGCACCGCGCGTTGCTACCGCTACTGCTCGCCGCAGCCAATGTCGCCGCTGACCCCGACCAAACGCTGCTGGTTCTCTCCGAACTTCAAGCTAGCCGACCGCTTCTACTTTCCGGGGCAGGAGGTGGCCCCGGCCTCACTTCTACAGGGATGGAAGTCCTGATGGGTTGTCTGCAGGGCCGCGTGTCGCACCGCCGGATTCAGGCCGGCGCTGTTGGCCTGGCGGCAGCGCTAGCCGGAGGTGCCCACAGCGCTGGGCCCGTGGCGGTGGATGCGGTGCGGGCCGCACTGAGCGCGGCGGGTGCCGTACCTGTACTTGTGGAGCTGCTGCGCTCCAGCACCATGGATGTACGGCGGGAGGCCGCGGCGGCGCTGGCGCTGCTGACGGAGGGTGCGCCAGCGGCGCTGGGCAGCGAGCCACGGCCGGGGCGGCTGGCGATGCTGCGCACGCTGGGCGTGACGGGCAAGGCTGATGAGCAGGGCGTCTTGAAGGCTTTCCTGGATTTGTTGCGCGGCTTTACGCCGGATGCAGTGCACGCGGCGCTGCGTTTCGTGACGGTCGCGCTACGGGAGCTGAAGGGCGCCCGCCGACTTGTGGAAGAGCTGGATGGGATAGACGCGCTGGAGGTGGCGCAGGAGGGCCGCAGCGGGTTGAATGCACCGGCGCTGCAGTTGTGGGCGCAGGAACTGGTGGACGAATACTTTGGGATAGACTGCGAGGAGCAGCTAGATGAGGGGGAGGAGGAAGATAGCGAGCAAATGGAAGATGGGGACGTGGAGCTGCAAGATGCTGTCATTGTGTAGAAGTTTTGTTGGCATTGTGTTAATGTTTTTTCCCTCCTCTTGCTGAGATGCTTGAGCAATCAATGCGCGAGTTGCGTATGTGTCGGCAATCCTATAGGCAGGTGCGTTGGAAATGGGCGGGACGGAGTGTATGTGGAGGGTCCTTTGCGGGCCTTTTCTTCGCGACAGCGTGAGAAGTATTGGGGGTATAACTTGACGGAGGAAGAGGTGCATTGCGTCTCGCGGCTGCCTTACTATCGTCAATTCTGCGGGTGCTGCAACACGGCACCCTTGCATGCCGCTGTGCACATGCGCAAGCGGAGTGCACCCTAGGCTACGCTGTAAAAGCACCGAGTGGTAGACACGATTCGAACCATCTCGGAAGGCTTGCTAGATGGGATACACCGCGTTACACCGTCTCCCAGACTCTGCCCAGCTACACCTGATCGACATCATCATCACTGCACCACCTCCATATCCGCGCCCGCAGCATTCCATAGCTCTAAAGCAGAATCTGCCGCCAGGGCATCCAACGCCGCGGCCACCCGACTCTTCCTGCCCCGCATCCCCCGCCCGGCGCCAGCCGCCTCCGCCCGCGACACCGCCGCCCGCAGCTCCGACAGCGGCCGGAACAGCACCCGAGGCCACGCCAGCACCAGCCGCTTGACGGCCGCCGGCGGTGCGTCTAGCCCCCACGCGAGCTCCTGGAGCCGGTGGCGGAGCGCGGCACGCTGTATAAGCAGCAGGCGGGGGCACTCCATCACTGCGGCGCGCGCCTCGTGCAGCGTGGCCGCATCCAGCACCTCCGCCAAATGCTCCAGCCGCTGCGGCAGCGCCTCGGGGCTCAACGTCAGCACCGTCGGCTCCTCTACCACCATCCGCAGCACAGCCTGAATCACGAAGCCGCGTTCCGCTCGCAGCGCTCTGGCTGTGGCTGCAGACCCGTTTGCCCCGCCGGGTGCCGTAGCTACGGCTCCGGTTGTGGAAGTCACAAACGCGTTGCTCAGGCCCAGTCCGTGCGGCAGCAGCCGGACCTTCCGCTCCAGCGTGGCGCTGGACATGGTCAAAACTGCGGGTTGCCGCAGCACAAGCCGGCGTGCAGTGTCAGCATCCGGCAGCCTGAGCAGCGCCTGCAGCCAGAGCAGCTTCGCTGCCAGTGACTGGCTTGACATGGCCAGCAGCGCGGGCTGGCTACGGCACAGCCGCGCAACGCCGCCGCGGGACAGGCCCAGCGCGGTTGCTGTCTCCTCTAGCTTGCCCCGCAGCCCCTCTGGAGTCCACTTCAGCAGGCTGGGCTGTTTGGAGACCAGCCGAGCTGCATCCTCCGGCCGGTGCAATGCCAACTGCGCGGCCACCGCCTGCAGAGCCTCCTCGCGGTGGCGCTTCGGCAGCAGCAGCAGTCGCGGACTGCGGGATAACAGGCGGCGGAGGCCAGCCGGCGTCAGCCCCAGAACGGACCGCAGGTGCAGCGCTGAGGCACGCACCCAACCCGGGGGCAGCATTAGCAGCAGGGGACATAGCAACACCATGCCCCGTGCCGCAAGCTCCACACGCGGCGGGAGCACCAAGCCCACCCCAGAGAATGGCGGCTGCAGCTTGCCCGGCCGCTGGTCGCCGGCCTTCTGATTAGTGGCCTTGCGGTCACCGCCCCTGGCGGCGGTGGCCCTTTGGGCTGAGCTTGCGACCAGCAACCCTCCCTGGCCGCTGTCCTGGCCTTCTGGAGCCCAAGTTAGTACCGGTGCTGCCTGGGGCAGGGGTGGTCCATGCAACCCAGGCTGCTCCAAGGAGGCGATCACAGTCGCGAGAGCCAGCCAGGACTCCCGGACTAGCGCCTGGGAAGCCTGCAGCATCCGTGCCAGCTCCTCCGGCCGCATGCGTGTGAGGCAGAGGCAGGCGTCCTGCGGTGCCACCCCGAGCACCCCAGCAAGCTCCGCGCAGCAGCTCACCAGGCGGTTCGGGGACACCTGCAGCAGGGCGGGCTGCCGGGCAATGAGCTCCATGGCGGCCTGAGGCGTCACGGCCTGTGAATGCCCGTCGCTGCCTGCGGTGGTGGCGGTGGTGTTCCGGCCACCGCCGCGGGTCCCGTCGTTTAAGTGCGCAGTTGTGGCTGCAGCTGGTGGTGGCGGTGGACGTGGCGGCGCTATTGAGACCGATACCGCGGCGGTTGTAGATGCTGCTAGACGGGTCGTTGTTGATGATGGTGGTGGTGCCGGTGTCGGCAATGCAGGTCTACCCGGGCCTATGTTACTGGGGATGCTGCGTTGGCCTGTATGGGTTTTGCTGATCGGGGCGTCATAGCTGTTCGCGCCAAGTCGTGGCGTCGCGACCGCAACGCTGAGAAGGTGCGCGAGCTGTTCCGCACGAGCACGGATTGCAGCCGTGTGACAAGCCAAGAACGCTGGCTGTAGCGCGACCATACGTGCAACCTGGGGCGAAAGAAGGAAGATCGAGGGGATGGGCATAATGCATGGGCCTGTGCAGCAGCCGATATGATAGCGTGGGGAGGGTCCATGTGCATGTGTTGCACGAGTAAGCCGCACTGTTGCTGCGCTTCGCGCTGAGGAGTGTTTCAAGCTATCGACGCTGCTGTTGTGTATGTACGATGCCTACCCGCAAATATCAGTTGCAATAACTATACAACGCGGATGCTTCCCATTTTCCGTGTATCCCTCACCCTATACCATGCTTTGGTTCTGTGCAGCACGGTACGGCAAAATGCCAAAAGAGTATGCCGACCTGTGTCGGGCTAAGGCCAAGCTCCTTTTGGAGGATGGTGCACCGTTTTGCAACTTCGTCGATTGTGACGCCCCGCGGTAGTAGCTCCGCAGCGTCCAAAGAGCAGGCCAGTGCTCGTGCGGCGGGCGGAGGCACATGCAGGGCCGCCCCCAGGGCAATAGCATCCCAAACGCCTACAGGCGAAGTCAATTCGTAAGATTTGTGAGACGAAAGTTTTGGTGTCTTGCTGCTTTTCAGTTCTCACCGTCATGACGACCGACAGCTTGCGGTGCCTGACAGTTCGCTTTCCTTGTTGATTCGCCACCCAAATATTCTATGGAAGGACTGAACCTTGGGTTTAATCTGCCGTTCTTCGCTAATAAACTTGCTCCTGACTGGTGCGTGAGCACTTGCTGGCGGCGAGAACCAGTGTTGTGACAGAAAAGACCAATATGAATAGCCGCATGAGAAAGAAGCATATAGATTTAGGCAAGCAGCTTCAGCTGATGCTATGTAATAAGGACTACGGTTAATGCACACCGTAAGAAGCAGCCATAACAAATGAGCATTGCAGAGGTACCCTTGACGTAATATACCTTACATGCTTTGCAAGGCACCTGTCTATAGAAGAGAAATAGGCGCGAGCTGTGCAATATAGCTTACGCTTGTTCCGTTGTCCGTCGTACAACGCCGCACGCTCTTCATGGATACTTCCCATATACCTTTCTTCCCAACCATCATCCGAATAGCACCTGCAGCCGCATACCTGCGCAACCGTCACAGTCTCTCAGCCCGAGCAGCGCTCAGATCAACCCTACACCGCTCCACTCCGCACTCCTCTACACCCATGGCCCCTAGTCCCGATAACACGCCCCAAAATCAAACCACTCAAAGCTGCAGATACTTCATGGCGTTGTTGACGTCCTTGTCGCCGCGCCCTGAGCAGTTGATCACTACGCGTGTGCCGCTCTTAAGCGTGGGCACCAGCTTAGCCAGGTACGCAATCGCGTGGCTAGTCTCCAGAGCCGGGATGATGCCTTCCAACCTGCGGCCATCCGTGAGCAGTTTGCCAGGAAGTCCCAGCAACCCAAAAGAATCAGCAGGCACCCACGGCAGCCTGTTCAAAATGCTTCACACACAGCCTACCCTACGCATAGTGTAATTAGCGAGCATGCGCCGTTACGTTGTCTCGCTTTCCGATCTGCCTCGGTATCCGCATTGATATTCGCCTTACTCCGTTGCGCTTTGTCGCACTTCCGTCGGTGAGCAGTCCTTAAGACGGCTCACAACCCAACAATCTTTCAATCCCACCACCTTTGTGGAGAAGCTTGAATAGGCAGGAGCACATAACGCTCCTCCATAAACCCGCGTGTCCCAGCGTTTCAGATACGTAGGTTACGCAGGATCCAATTTCGCCCAGGTTAGGAGGTCTTACCTGCTAAGGAGCTGGAAGCCCTCGAGAGCTTCTGCGTCAGTGACGGCGTAGTACTCAGCGCGGCCAATGTCCTTTAGGAACGAATGCTCTGGTCCAATACCAGGGTAGTCCAGTCTGCAGCACAAAAATATTCGGAGTACAACGGTACCTTCTAAACACATCCTCCAAATCATACGTTGCTAGCAACACCGCACCAAGCCCTGCAGAAGATTGGACTAAGTGGCAACTGCAAAAACCGGGTCGTAACATTTCCCGGTGGTAGGGCTGGAGAGCGTGTATGGGGAAATGAGGATGACACAGAGGAAAGAGGCTGTACACCCATGGCGGTGCAGGCCATCCTGAAGCGTTTTGGGGCTCACGGCCAGCAACCTTTGAAACTCTCGCCAAACAGCTATCCAACCCAGGCTGCTGTAGGCTTCCTTCCATATAGATCTAGCCGGGACCAAGTAACATGCTTTCCCCGTCTTGCAAAGTTTTTAAACCTCCTCCTGATCTGTCCCTCGCTCCGCAACCCAAAGCTGCCTTGTCCAGCACCCCGCCAAATACAGCTCCCGCTCACCCAGCACTGATCGAGTGTGGGTCAATAATTTGACCGTCTTCATCCTGTAGCAGGTAGCTGTAGCTGCCGTGCAGGACCCCTGGAGACCCGCGGGTCAGTGTGGCTGCGTGCTTGTTGGTGTTGACGCCCTCGCCACCTGCCTCGACGCCAATGAGACGAATCTGCATGGAGTAAAGAGAAACAAGCAAAACCGGGAACATTAAAAAGCGCTTACCATGCAGCTTTCCACTAAGCATGTTGAACGGAATTGCACCTTCTCCTTCGGGGTGTAACGCCGCAACGACAAGACCGCGGTAAGAAGAAGTTGGGCAACCATCAAGACCACACATGACCAGTGGCGCGGTACCAGGCCACAGCGGAACGCAACACACATGCAGCCCAAGCCCACTCAATCACCATGACCCCGATGCAACCAAATATGCATGCGCCCCTTTCCCAGAGCTGGCTTCCTGCGTTCTTCATCCCCTGTCTGCAACCTAAATATGTGCGTCCATTCTTCCAGGGCCGAGGGGATAATGTGGGGCATTTTCCCGTCCTGATGCGAATGGCGCCGTGGCATCGTGCATACCAGTCCCTCCCTTCCACAAGTCGTCGTGCTCAGAGATCGCACTGAGCTCGCACTGCATTTGCCGCTGCCACCCAGGAAAACTCACGTCAGTGTCGTTCACAAACTCGTGGAAGATGCCAATAGCGTTCGAGCCGCCGCCCACACACGCCATCACGATATCTGGCTTGCCGCCCCACTTCTCCAGGCATTGCGCCCGTGTCTCGCGGCCAATCACGGATTGGAAATCACGGACCTGAAGGGCGGGACCCGGTGCCGCCAATCTTAGCCCACTTGGCGTGAGGAATGACCAAGGCTAACCTGGCCTTACATGCCATGTTTATCGTCTACGTGTAGCTTTCAATGCGGCATCTACTGTGCCACTCTCTGGCCAGCCGTTCCAGAGGGTAAACACTAGAGCTCTGCACGTTGGTATGTATATCCGGTAGTGCATCCGGAGCCGAAAAACGGCACCGATGCCCTGACCGAAGCCTTAAGGCGCGGAATAATGTCCCTGGAAGGTTCCAGGATCAATCCCGACAAAGAGCAGGATAAATATCACTCGATCGTAAGCGGGAAGACGCAAACCCCCCATGCCGATGGACGGTGATGGGCCCGGTTACAGTGACCGGCGAACCGATCAGGAGTGGAGTTGATACCTCCGTTGATCCGGCAGAGTTTATTGATTTCTGGTGGTGGCTGCTGAAACCGAAAAAGTCACTGACTTCGCAGAAACCGGCATGGGTGTGAGAAGGATGAGGGTGGCCCGAAACATCGGGGAGGGTAAGGACTACCAGGCTAGTGGCCGCGGTTGAAGCTATGCAGCCCTACTCCACACCATTATCAAGGCACCCGTAACATGAAATGCCATTCAAGGTGAGCACCATGATTTTCCCTGTAACGCCGGACAAAGGTCGGAAAGGTCTGCACCTGGCCCCGAGCTGCTACGGACGATGTGACAGCACCCCTTCCCTGGCTGGCCTCCGTACCATCATGGGATAGGGGTGAGGACCAGCTGCTGAGCCCAGGATGTAATGGGTTGTCTCCACGTTGGTGACCCAATCACGGATAGCCTCGCTGGTAGCATCCTTCAGCGTGGCCGTGCCGCTGTACACCGGCCGGACCTCGGCCCCGCAGAGGCGCATCCGAAACACGTTAAGAGCCTGGCGCTCCATGTCCTTAGCGCCCATGTAAACAATACACTTGAGCCCCAGGCGAGCGCAGATGGTAGCCTGCATGCAGCAAAAGCTGGAGAGTTTCACGCCATGGTTAACCACTCACCCAGGACGCTGGCAAACCCAGATCCCCAACACATTTCATGTACCGCAACCCATTTCATCCAAGCAGATGGAACCGCCCAAGAATCTCACCGTCGCAACGCCGTGCTGGCCTGCACCGGTCTCAGCAATAATGCGCTTCTTGTTCAAGCGCTTGCACAGCAATGCCTGTCCAAGAGAATTGTTAATCTTGTGTGCTCCGGTGTGGTTAAGGTCCTCGCGTTTCAGGTAAATCTCCGCCTTGCCTCCATCCGCCCTACGTGTCGAACAAACACTCCATGACCCTCCATGCTTAAAACATCAAGCACTTATTCTAGTCTTACTCATTTAGTCTAGTCTTACTTACGTCGCAAAGTGCTCCGACAGACGAACTGCATGGTACAGGGGTGTCTCACGGCCGACGTAGTCCTTTAGGATAGCCTCCATCTCCGCCTGTGCCACAGGAGGAAATGAAAATGATCGGCTCCATGTCTGAGCGCTCCCATCTGGGTCGCTGTGAAGCTCTGGCCGCCAGTGGTGACGTGCACAGCATGGCACTGCAAGCCCTTGCCTTATACGAAGGATCCGCCAAGGCTGCCTTATAGTCGACCTCCAATTGTTCCAATGCGGGGATTAGAGTCTCAGGTACATACTTTCCGCCGAAGATGCCATAGCGACCGGTCGCATCAGGACGCTGGTACTCAGTCACAGGCTTTTCTGGTGCCGCAACGGCAGAAACAATGACTGTGCTACGACGACTGATAAGGCGCACGGAACGTGGAATCTTTGAACGAGTCTGCGGCCGGCCAGTGGCACGGCCTTTCGCATCTGTGCGCGGAGAATGAAGGTTCATTGTGCAATGTCTTACGTCTAAGGTGTTCAGCCTTGTCTGCTTTCCTTTTTAGTTTGAAACTGGATTCATAACATCGATTAGCGCGGACCGGCCACAGCCGGCAGTACGGGTGCCGTAATAAAAATAACAGTCGCGACAGCCGTTGATCATCAAACCCGTGATCTTCTCGGAAGACGACAATTTAATCCCTGCACATAGAGGATGTGCCAGTGAGCACAATTTTGCGACGGTGGCCAGCTTGGGTTGCTGCCGAGCATAGCACATAAACACAGCTTGCAAAGCTCCCCCGAACAGGCAAAGCTCTGCTGTCCTCTTGAGCTGCACGCTGACCATCCCATATTGGATTCCCCTTTATAACAACTGTACCATGCTGGCCCTCTCCTCCCCTTATCCGATTGCTGGCCTGTTCCTGGTTGCTGGTGGGTAATGCGTATATATTTTATGATGTTGTTACAGGGTGGTATAGCTTCACCAGTGGCCCCCTTTCCCGAGGCAGTTCTCTGATCTCCCCTGCAAGAGGGGCACCCTATTCCATTCACCCCATCCGACCTAAGAATGTATTCGTTGAGTTCAGCAACTCACCACTAGCATCCAACCAAATCTAGCGGATCAACGGCGCCTCAACTTAGTTCCTGGTCAGTTCACAAGATGATATAATCACGTCCTTCACCGTCTACAAGGTGGGGAACCACCTCCCAATCCAACACCCCCCTCACACCCGAGGAATCGGCAGGCGGATTTGAACCCGGAAATTCCGGGAGCAGAAGTTAGGCCTTAACCTCTGCCAGCCACCTGCCATATTATCTCTTGCGTATATGTGGGTACATCATAATCCACGTGTCCCCCCGTGGCATCCCCAAGCTTGCCCCTAATCCGTCCCTGGCTTATCAGGGCCAAACAAGCCATAACTAGTCGACGTCATTGCTGTTTCACTTCCATAGGGGGCGAAAGGGAGCAAGTGGATGCTGAACATTGCAATACGGCCCCGCGCAGGAAGGTCTAAGTACAAAACATCGCTGCAACTCTTATAGACACGTCCGCTACCACTCCCTATGGGCAAATCAACATCTTGGAAAACCCAGCGTATACATTCTGTCATGCCATCGCTGTTGCATGGCGATGCGGTCCCAGACATTCTTATGCTACAGAACATTCAGAAGCTCCCCTTGGGCCGCAGAGCAAGCCGTTTCCTATCACCTCATGCCCATTCGCGTGACCCACGATACTGCGGTTGAGCAATGCCACAGTGATGTGGGCTTGTGCGGAAGTCATGTATAAGCATGGCAGATCTCGTTCTGCGATTACCAGCAAGGAAAGCCGCGTAGGTGGCAGGTAAGTAACGCGCATGTGATCTTTGCTTAGTCCACCTACATGGCAAGTCAAAAGTCGGGCGAATGTGAGCTGTACTGATGTCCTGCTGATGCAAGACTGTAACGAACATTGCTGTCCAATCGGTTCACAGCAAAGGAACCTTTAGATTACCAAGGCGATCCATGAGCTGTTACACCATAACCCCTGGAGTCATTCAGGCCGCACCTCTGTACGGACAGTTGCAGTTGCCAGTTGGCAAGCCACGTCGGCGGCTCCAGTCGCTTCCATCTCATCCAGTGCCATGCAAGACGCGTTAATTGCCGCAGCATCAACGGCTACCGCGTGTTTCTGGATCAGAGAGAAAAAAAGTGACGAAAGAATTGTGTTAGCGTATAACCAGATTAGGAGAAGCAAATCTTCGTTCGTGACCCGCATGCGCGCTGAATGTTGCAACAAAGTTGCGGACGTTGCGTATCCAACCTGCGAGGGCACGTCGCTGGAGCCAATGCAGCCGTCGCCAGTGTTCTCGCACAATGCCGCCACAAAACGTGCGGCTGTCCCCACGGCATCTTGCGCGCAATTGCATGTGATAACAGGAACTGCGGGATGCCTGCAGATGTTGCCGTGCATGCAATCACATTCATAAACATGTGCAAAAACCCAAGGGGCTGTTGGTGGCAGGTCGCGGACCTCCCGACTAATTGTAACGGCCAATGACTTATAGCCGTATCTACTAGGTTCCAGAGACAGCAAGCACAGCTGCAATAAGCACAGCTCCCACCACGTTGACACTACCCATCAATTGTCACACGTGCCACCCTAGCTACCAGCCTGTACGGATGCAGAGGGGCCCCGCCCTTTTTCCGGCTTCGAGGAAGCCGACACAGCTTGTCAGAAGGCCTTTCCTCCCATGTGCTCATGCCAGAACTTCCAATTACAAAATCGCATACATTGCATGGAAGCCTGAGCACATGGAGAGTGTTACATGCCCCCTGTCCATATCATGGCCCACCTTGCCGCCATCGCGGATGCAGCTGCATGGCCGTAACAGCCCGGAATCAGCAGGTAGACTTGGTGAAAATTTGTTTGCAGGCTATGCAGGCTGCAGAGCACGGCGCAGCTATGACAACCAACGCGATTCAGGACCGCCGAAGCCTTGCGCCTTTCTACGCTGCGGGCCGTGTGGAGACTCACCGACGAGACTGTTCGTCAAGGACCGTCGGCATGTTCCCCGCATCAATCTTTAACTCATCGAACAGCATAAACGCGTGAGGCCTTCCCTTAACAGTTACAAGGACGTCCTGAAAGGTTTGCAAAGGGCCAGAGCAAAAGCTTTGGCAGCCCGTTCATACCGGAGTTCCTACTGCGCTCCCAACGCACCGGTTCCAGACCGGTGGCGCTCCTGAAGTTGAACCCAATGTTTGCTAGTTCATTGGCGTCGGCGCTCAAGCCAATTCCCCCTTTCATTATGCAAGCCCCGCGTATTTGTCGACCCGACATGGCATCCCGGAGAGACAATTACGATCACCCGATCTACAGTGTGCTAACACGTCATCTGTTTATATTCAATAGTAGCATCCATGAGTTGACATCTTCCCAAGTCTATGCACTAGGAGGTACTTGGACAACAACTGTCCAAGTTGAGCTATGCCCTAGGTTTGTTGGGACTTCTGGGACGAAGATTATTATTTACCCATGTAAGGCAATGTCATGATGAGGCTTTGAGGTATTGAGAACAATAATTGGAGAAACGTACGGCAGTGCTATGATGTGCGTGCGTTGACTGCTGGGATGGGTTTTTGAGAAAATTGGGACTTAATTACGTATCTTCGTCTAACTCTTTGGATCAGGTTGACTTTTTACAATCCGAATTACCTATGTTCAACTTGCACTGCTATTGTCAGATCTGACGGCTTTCTGCTTACCTGCTGGCTTCGACTTGTCTTAGGAAGTCCCGAGGCCAGCGCATGTTAGCAGAAGGCCATGCTAAGCTGCAACTCATGCTGGAACGATCTGGACGGGAAAGCTGTGGTCACAACTTGTCAGCATCTTTTCTGTGGGTCGGCATGCTCAGACGGAATGGCCTTCAGGACTGGTGTACATGAATGAAAACATTTCTGTCATCTGTGTTTAGGCTTGAAATGCGCTCAGCAAATTGTGGAGAATAACTCGGGCTGCACCATTTGCGATGCAGTCATCACGAAAAGGTGAGACCCGTTTAGATTTTTTCCGCGCAGAAACCTGATTACCAAGTTAACCCATAAGCTTCATAAAGTTGCTACGTTTTGGATTTTAGCATAGCAGCTTGCTGGTCCCGGCAAAGCCCTGAATCATACATCATAAGCCCTGAATCTTTCCCCTGCTCCTATTCGTGTCTGCAGTACTGTCAAGGTGGTACAATCTCTCGCGGATGCTGCGGCGGCTAAGGTAGGAGTGCTCATTATTCTGGCGTACCCAGGCCTTGCTACCTAAGACAGCTGGGCCGCACCCACAGATGCTGCTCTGCGGGCACACGCCAGAAGTAGCCTTTACGTCCGCTCTGGCATCTGTTCAGTTCTATGTTACTCAGCAACAATTACAGGTGAGAGGTCCAAGGGCAGGTCTGAGTGAATATTGTGTAGATACAGCAAGCTTCACGCTGCCCAGTGTAGGGCAGGTAGGGAAGTGCCCGAGTCGCCAGTATGCCACCCCATATGTCACCCCATACTCTGTTGCCGTCAAATGCAGGCTCAGCTTCGGGAGGCGCAACTGAACAAGAAGTTAAATAAAGTTCAAGAGGCCTGCAGGCGCAAAGTGGTGCGTGTTTGCGGCTGACTGCCGAGTTTTTCGGTGGATTACGTGTGCGCTGGGGTTCGTCTGCGCCCACCCGAGAGACCGCATAACATACTGTGTATTGTGTGCACGGTCAGGTTAGGCCATACCAGCTGATGAGTTTCCGCTATTACACCGGCCTTTGATTCGTTTGTTGCTGCCAAGCCTACATGGCTGGCGCCCACTATAATACTTACTGTGGGTTTTCTGCCCCATCTTTCTTGTCATTCCCAGGAGGAGGTGCACAAGGCGTACACGCAGGTACGTTTTTGCAGGTCCATGGGCCCTTCATAGGGTGTTCGGAAGTATTGTGACTCCCCGTCGCCATTCGAAAACTGTCTTCCACAGGCGAAGCGCAAGTACGAGGAGATGTTGCAGTCCCATGCACAAACACAGCAGGACAATCAGGAGTTGCAAGCCAAGTATGCGCAAAAGTCAATGTAAGGACAAAACGTTTCCATCTTTCTTCACCAAAGTAGAGTGAGCGCCTCAATGGTCGATTTTGTGTGCAGGCAGGCACGGAAGCTCCAAGAAATTGTCAAGAAACAGCAGCAGCATATGGACAAGCAGCAGCAGGAGATCGAGATGCTACGTCAGGGTGCCTCTAGAGGCCAACCCCTTGGCGGAGGGCATGGGGTTGGAGCTCATGGCATGGGGCGCAGCCCGTTATCCCCACTGGCACCCGGCGACGTGGTAAGGGTACTTGGGTATGGAACTCGTTATCGTTGTACGTGACCCGCAAAGGTCGGCACCATCTTGTCCTTATCTAGTGCCAACTGTTCATCTAGTATACAGCTATTTATGTTACAACTGTCCATACGCCTCGCAGGTGACAACAGTGCACCGGACCCAGGTCTTTGCGGACCTGTCCAGTCCACCTGCAGTGGGAGGTTATGGCAAGGAGCAGGCGGCCCTTCCATCGTCGGGTCGCGTCCAGGGCATAACCGGTGGATATCGCAACCAGCACGGAGGGAACAACAACGGTGATGCCGGCGGGTAAGTAAGCCTTGTGAAGAAGCGTTACCAGGGCAGCACGCGGCTGTGAAAGGAAGTCCGTATCACTCGGTGTTTTTTCGGCGTGCAGGTTTCTTGGCGGTTCCATGAGCGGCGGCAGCCCGATGGCGCTGGCCAGTCAGGGCATGGGGCATACAAGCTCGTTCGGAACAGGGCTGGGAGCAGGAATGCGTCACGGCAGCGGCGTTAGTGGTCAGGATCCGAACAACAACGCATTGCGAAAGATGCTTGGCATGGCCCCTGCGCAGAACGGATTGCTCGGTGGGCGCAGCGCGCCCGTGACGCGGCCTGACTTGTTTTCAATGTGAATGCAACGATAACCATTATTGGGTTGTGACGACTGGGGCCTGCTTTCCTCCTTACAGCGGACTGATGACTCATACATGATCTTATGTATTGGATGGAGGATATAGATGGTAGCGATTGATACTGGGTGGTATCGACTCGAGTTTGTTCTTCCCACAGCGGGCGCCACGACATCTACAACTGTATCGGAGCTATCTCTTCGGCGAGAGACGTTCTTGGTACATAGCGCAGTGCACGATGGCGGGGTACGGGCTCAGCAGTCCCTCAGCCATACCGATGCCTGGTAGCAGGTTGGCTAATGACCAAGTCGTAAAGAATACCTATCTATTGACTATAACAAATGCTAACCCCATTTTTCGAGCGACGGCGTGCCGAGCCCGTTCACCTTGACCGCCAAGCCATGTGTACAGTCAAGTTTGCGGAATACCCACTATCCCACATCGATGCCATTAACGCATATTAAACTACAGTGCCAACACCTGCATGTCGATAGTCTGCGTCGTGTCGTGATGAACACGTCATTTATACAGTCTGCGGCTCACATGCGTGAAACCCTAGCTTATGTCATGATATTTGTGGCAGCGTGACGTTGGCTGGTACTCCCTCCATGGGCACAGCGGCTGCTGGCTGGCCCTTCGGGTCATAGTCCATTCCGGCCTGCAGGCATTTGAAACGTCCTTGTGAGCTGTTGGGACGAATTTGGAACGGCCTGTGTGAACGGCCTACTCATGCAATGCAACGGCTTGGCGGTGTCGCAAAACTCCTAGGGGATATTGTTCTGCATACCTGTGGTGGGCGTGTTTTGGGGGCGCTGAGTGCAGGAAGGCTGCCTTGCATCGATGGCTGCTTGACAGCGCTTCCTGGGTTGCTCGGGCGCCAGCCCCCCGGGGGCAGGTGTGGGCCGACGTAGTCTCGTGGGAGCGCCTCAGCTGCGACGACAGGTGGCGCGTCCTTGTACCTGAAGGATATACCATTTATCGTGCGTGCACTTTTCAGCTTATTCCTTTTTAACTCTGTTAGAATGGCATCTGACGAATGAGCCAACATAACATTAAATAAGCCTGGTCTATGGTGGTTTAGCGCTGTATGAGCCGTGGTACGGGGCTTGCCTTGTACCTCTTCGGGCTTTTCCCGGTCTTATATAGTGTTTGGGTGCGGGCAGCACCATTGATTCCTATGAAGCCACTACATCTATCCACTACATCATCCATTAAAGCCGTGTCGGAAAAACCGAATCCCAGTGATTCTTACCAGTTCTGACCGTTCCGTGCATTTGGGTCGTTGGCATATGCTAGCCGCTGTGCTGAAGCTTGAGGGCTGAGCGGATCGCCTCGCCCGCTGCGAACTTGAGAACGCGACACTGTGTCAGTGGCCGCCGGTACGCGTACTGGCAATTGCTGGGTAGGTACGTGCGGGCCTGGCGACACATCGAGCTGGTCCAGCGGCCTATCGCAGGCCATGCAGCGATAGCCGGTGATTGGCCGGGCTGCCAGCATGGCATGGTCACCGGGGGCTACCAACCGAGACCCTGCAAGAGCCAAGGCTGGTGGCGGCTCGATCAACTTATCCTGCAGCCATTAAGCGGAGCGTTGCGTCAGTACATGTGGCATCGCTGTAAACATGCTCTTCCGCCGGAAAGGTAGCCCCCTTTAAACTCTATCACGCTCTACCTGAGGTTACGTTCTTACCTTCATGAGGCGCACGTCGGTATTGAGGCGCTTTACTTGCCGTTCTAGCTCCTTGATGCCGTAATCGACGCCAGCCAAGCCAGCGCGGCCCATCGCCGGCGACTTGACTGTCGCCTCCAGATACGCCAACTTTTGTGCCTGCGAGGAAGAAATGGTCATGAACAACGTGATCCAGTAAATCTCGCATAAAGGCAGCAAATGATATTAGGAAGTTTCATACGTCTCCAGTACACGGTGTTTGGGGGTACGCTCAACCCCTCAACAACTGGTTGCAGATAGCAACAGCTGCTGCTAGACTCCAAAACTTACCATTTGTTGGAGCGCCACAGGGTCGAAGGCTTCCATTTTGTGCCGATAGTCACCGCTGCCGAGCAACTTGAGCAGTCGCTCGTAGCCTCCTCGGGGCGAGCGGTTCTCCTTGCCCCCAGCACCTGTGCAGCACAGCAATTTCCCCATGCATTCCGTCAAATGGGAATTGGCCATGCATCACCCCGTGCAAGTAAGCCCACCTTTTCACTATACATGGAAAAAGAGCCTAGGATACGACCCACCTCCTGCCTCGCTGTAGCGCCCCTCCACGCCTCCCGTTGCAGCTCCCGTGGCGCTAAATCGCACCCCACCGTCGAGCCCAACTGCCAGCACGTTGGCTGCATGCGCCACCGTATCAAGGCCCTCGCGCAGCGTCCCAACTTCACGGGTGAGCGCTGTAACGATGCGCTGCAGAGCTGCCGTGTCGCCGCCGTCGCGTGCCGCTGCAGCGCCGTGTGCCGCTGCCGCGCCGGTAAGCATGTCAACCGGCAGCGCCGCCATGTCTGCCCGAATTTTTGCCAGTTCTGCAAACACGTCGCCCATGCGCTGGTCGAGCGATGCAATCTCCTCCGAGTTGGCGGGCCGCCCAGAGAACTGCGCCATGAGGGCCGTTAGCTCCGCCGCCGACGCCTTGTCCTCCAGCGCTGCGCGCAGCAGACCCACGTCCTCGGCAGATGCCTTGCTGGCTAGGAGGTTCTGCAGCACTGATAGCTCGGCCTTGTTGGCCTTGTCTGCAACCATGCCCTGGATTGCGCCAAGCAGGTTCGTGTACCCGCCTCCTCCCGTCGTGTTGCCGTTGCCATTGGCGCTGATGTCGCCGTTAGCGCCAGCGGCCATGTCAGCTGCAAGCGCTGCCGTTAATTTCACCTCGTCCAGCGCCGCTTGGTCCGCCTTGCCAGCCAACGCAATCTGTGCGGACACACGCCATTCAACCCGTGATTTATACCTCCGGACTGAATACATTCAGCATCAACAGACCGACTTCCTTTGTTCTTCAGAGCAACATCCTTAGATTGCATCGCTGTCGCTAGTAGTGCCCGTTTCATCCCATCTCACCCCAGCTATTGCTCAAGCGCACCTGCAAGTCGCCCAGGGTTGCTGCGTCCGCCTTGGACCCCAGCGCCAGCCGAATTTCCGCCAGCTCGTCCAAGTCCGCCTTGCTGTTGAGAGCCAGCTCTAGCCGCGCAACTTCGCCAGCGTCCGCCTTGCCCGCCAGCCTCGTGCCGAGCTCGCCCAGCTGGCCATGCAACGCCGCCAGGGCTCCCTGCACGGACGTCAGGTCTAGCCCCTCTAGGCCCATGCTCGATTTGCGACCAGGCGGCAGGCCAGCCTCCGGCCAGGACTCGGGAAGCTGCGCAACGCGGGCAGCAAGCTCCGTTACCTGTGCGCGCAGCTGCTCAAAGGCGGCAGACCCAGGCCCAGAACCGTCAACAAGCTCATGGGAAACGACCCATGGGAGCTCCTGCGGCGTTGATGCCTGCTGCTGCATTTTCCGTTGCTGGGCCGAGCCGGGCTTATCGTCCAGGCTTGTTGAGATCAGTTTCTCCAGCCGCGTGGTCGAGTCCCGCAGCGCCGCGGAATCGGCCTTCTGGTCCACGGAAGCTGCAACCTCCTGCAGCCGCCGAAGCACCTCCTCAAGGGCGGCCCTGCCATTCGGACGGATATCAAAGGGTCCAAGGTTCATGTCAACAATGCCGCTGCTACAGACGCGTTCGGCGGAAAGGGTGCATGACCCGCAAGCAAAAAGAAGCACACCGCAGCCGCGGTACGAACAGAGGCACATTATAGCACTGCAAGCAAAAAGAGATGAGCAGCCCTCCACCGAACATCCATTGCTGAGTCCGGTGCAAGCAGGACGGTAAGCCCTCCGTGCCGCACCTGTCCGCCTTTGAGTCCACACGTTTGTAAATGTCCTTCAGCAGCGGCTGGACGTCGTGCAGGCTGTCAATCGCGTCCACGGCGTGATCACTGCTGCCCACCGACACCGGCGTATTGCTGGGCCCAGCCGAGACGCGCACCTCAAGCTCATCCAAGCGCCTGCAAAACAAAACAGGTCGAGATAATAGCCGTCAGCATAATAGCCATAGCGCCATGCAATAAAAACCCAAATGCCCTGACGCTTCTATTCCCAACTGTACATCAGGCGTCATCTCTTACGATTCCGTAAACCAGGCGATGTGGGGAATATGCCATAGTGCGATGAGCAGTTGTACTTACTTGCTGAGTGTGTCTAGAAGTGTGCTAGGCACCGCCACGCTTGGCACGCTCGAGATGCCGTCTGCTGCATCTACCGCGGCCACCGCGCCAGAGCCTCCTAGTCCCGGTGATGCGCTGGCGTCAGCGCCGCCCGCCGAACCAGCCTTACGGCCGGATGGAAGTCCACGGGCCTTGAGGGCCGCCAACTGCGCTGCTAGTTCATCAACGCCGCCCTGTTCGGCCTGTAAGATTTTGATTTGGGTTGGCACGTAGGACTGGAGTAAGTGTGGGCCAGCTTGGGGGAACAACGCGCTGTGCAGACCGCAACCTGATGGCTAGCACGTTTTTTTCTTGGATAAAAAGCCCGTTTCCATGCTTTCAATGTTCTTAGCGCGCTCCACAGCCTTCTCCTCCTCAGCAGACTCTGCTTATCGGTCCACACTTTCCAACCGGTGAATCCAAGGAGTTCCCGACTTGAACGTTTCGGTGCTCGACAGTGCCTGGCCAGAAAAGGTACCCTTGAATCCAGTCCACGACACGTTACGTGAGTATCAAAACGCACACACACACATCCCCTCTCTAGTGTAACACATGGACAGCTGCTGCCTTGGCAACTCGGCATCTGGGCCCTGCCTAGCTGCATACCTTGCCCTGAAGGCGGTCCTGCATCACTGCCACCTGGCCCCGCATGGCGGCGGCCTCAGCTGCCGCCTTATTCACAGCCTCCACCAGCGCCGCGTTATCAACCGATCCGTCCGCCTGGACCGACAGTGCGGGCGGCACAGCATCGCCAACTGTGGCCATGCTGACACCAGCACGCAGCAGCGCGTCTAGCTCAGACCGATTGGCCTTCAAGTCTAGCTCAGCCCGGTTGGGTTTGGATTCCAGCTCGTGCTGGAGCCCAGACACAGTCGCGGCGAGGGCTCGATGGCCAGCTAGCAGCTCCTGGAATTGCGAGTTGAGGTCCGGCCCCGGCGATGAAGCTTCCGCATGCTCAGCTTCATCGTGGGCCGAGGTCGTGGGAAGCTGTTCCACACGCTGCTCCAGGGCGGCCAAGCGGCTCTCCAGGTCCGCCTTGGAACCACCAGCAGGCACATCATTGGCCCCAGCATCAGCTTCCGTGCCATCTGGAGTGGCCTGGTCGCGGTCCTGCTTTGTATCGAGTCGGCTCTCCATGTCATCCTGCCCACGCACAAAAGGTGCATGGGTCAACCCATTGTGCGGATGAGCGCCATATGTAATCGTGCATACAATACGCCACTCTAGGGTGCCCAATGGCTACTTTTTTGTCAAGGGGGTTTTGGTCGACATGGTAGTAACCATCGCATGACCGGTCGGCATGCGCGGCCCCAAACTTGCATCCACGTAACGCTGTGCAGCAGGTTGACCTAGCAGTGAGGTTCTTTGAAATAATCGTGCATATGTTTTGCTTGCTTGATACTATACCCGAAGCCGCTTCGAAAGCAAGCCGGGCATTTTTGCATGTCCGATGAGGCTCATTGTCGTAGTCAGACATCAAAGAATATCCTCACGTAGTATTCAATAAGATGACTACTTACACTTACGCCAGCCGAGGCGTAACAGCTTCGACATGCCCCACCTGTTTCGACTGCAACTGTGCCAGCGCATCCTTCAGGCTACTGTTTTCTCTCCTTAATGCATCAATTTGATCTTGGAGCAGAGAGTCCGCAATCGTCCGCTGATTAGCCTGGATGGATAGGCAGACGGCAATCCTCAAAGCTAGCGATTAAGCTCGGTACAGATGCATTTTTATCTACCTGATCAGCCGTAGGTAGTTCCTGCACCTTAGAAACAAGCCATTTGATGGTCTTATCAAGTTCAGCTAAGTCGATAGCCTGCACCACCTGCACCGTCGACACTCTGAGGTAGTCACCCATCTTATGTACGTGCAAATTTCATTACATGTCATTTGGGAAATATGTTGCCAACATTTCGAAGTGCTCATAAAAATACCACATGCCCGTACAAGGGACAATCTTACGTTTCATGTTCTAAAAGCTCTAACAAAACGCTACAGCATCATCCGTTCGCTATATTTAGCTGCTGTTAAGACTTCACTTTGCATGCGGTGGAACAATTTCTTGCCAGGGTTCATAACTGCACCGCTCTAGTAGAGGTTTACCACGGATGCACTGTAGTGGGGTTTAGTGGATGGCTTCTACCAGACCAAGCCCCATAAAGGTTAGCCACGTAATGAGAGTTAATCCGCCTAAAGGCGGGAAATCATCCTGTAATTCGTGCGGGCGGCCCGTGCCGTAGGGAATTTCCGCGACGCAAGAGGTATCTCAGCTGCGATCTCAAATTTTGTCCTTGTCTCGAGAGCTTGAGGTTGCGAGGTAAGAAGATGGGCGTCAGCTGAGTGCTCCTCTGCATGGGTTTTAAGCAGATGGATAACTTCGAAACCCCATTCACGCCATGAACTGCATTTTGAACTCAAACCAAACACCGCGCATTTGGTTGCGGAATTTCAGGCTCATCTCTGGGCCAACAGCACCTGTAGGTGTGGAGGATGTGCTGCTCACGGACGACGAGGTCCAAGAGGCGGCCTTGCGAGCTCTCTGGCTGAGCCACTATTGGGTAGGTACCGGCTACCGGGTACAGACATATTACCGGCGGTTGTCGTGGCCAGCGGCATGCGGTTGTTGCATGTCCTTCATCTGATGGGGGGGACGCCGTAAAGTGGCCTGCTAGGCAGTACCACACAGGACCAATCGCCTCCTTGGGCTCCTAGATCAAGTCGTTGCCCGAGCTTGCCCTGAGGCCTAAACAGGCAATAAGCTGCTTGGAACACATCTGAACCGAGTAGATGGCCGGCACGCTTTTGGCCTGAAGGCTGTTCGTGGGATTGGCCACTGCTGATCTGTAAAGGCAAAAACCTCAAGCGAGGAGCCAAGGAGCCAGGTCCTGCGACACTGGGCTTGCAGAGCCTATATACGCTGTGGGGCGAACTGTACAGTAGAGAGGGAAGCTTGTGTAGGGCCGTGCCGGCCGCTGGTGTTCCTTCGTTATCGTTCCCCTCCAGTTGGCTCGCGGAGTCCACGCCCTGCCCTGACTCGCAGCGGTCGCTGCGCTGTGGGAGTCTGTCGCCCGCTGGTGTGAACATGGCTGTGATAGTAAGCGGCTGTGGACTGGTGGAATTAATCAACTTGCCCAAGCCGGTGGAGGACGACTATGCCGTCTCGTGAAGAGGGTTATAAGGCCCAGTACAGAAGTTGTGGTGTGTATCGCGGGGAAACAACAATTGCCTAACCTTTCGCTGTCGTCCACGTACGGCCTGCTGCTTGCGCGGCAGGGGCTCGCTTGTGACTTGGGCATCATGCCCGAACTGTCTGCATCCCAGGCGGAACGATGGCAAGCCGTTTCGCCCCCGGTCGAAATCCTCCATTCAGCTGCAGCAGATATCGCGCGGCGTGTGCGTGACCTGGCACAGGTATGTCCCTGGGGCCTCTTGGCAGCGAAGCAAGCGCGGACTCTTGGGAATTACATTCTTTGTCATGTTGCCAAGTTCGACGAAGAACTCAAACCTTCTACATAGATCCCTTAAAAATATCTCCACTTTCGTCCAGATAAGCAGCTGTGCAAGCTGCTGAGGCAGGTCGTTAAGCGTATAATTCAAAGTGCGTGCACAACAGCAGCGAATCAATCCGATTTCAAAGTCACGAACCCTGTAATGCAGGGTATAGCTTCAAGCCAAGCATCAGGAACATCCGCCAGCGGCAACCGCAGGTAAGGAACGTTAAAAACACTACAGTCAAGTCCTACACTAGCTAAGCTATGTGCCATCTATGGGCACATTCCTGCCTATGTCGAGTAGCAAAACTTAAGGCTGCGAATGCGCTTTAGCATAAACGTCCTCGAGGAAAGGCACGATGATGGCCGCGGGTCAAAATGCAATCTGTCTGCTTGCAGACTAGCCCAGTCCATCCCAACTCCAGCAGTCTGGCTAACCTACGAACCCCAGGCGCCTGCAGCCCGGTCCATCATGGCAAGCATTTTAAACCCAACCACATTGCGGTCCTGGCATTAATGTAAGTAAAATCAACGGCATTGCTGTCTTGGCATCAAATTGCGTGTGGGAGCTTCCTTAGTGCACCGAGCAACAATGGCATGCGTTCCAAGGCCGTCGTTGCCTGTAAGTCACATGTCATTCTTGTACTGCAGTTTGCCTGGCCAAGCACTTGTGCAACGATGCAGGGATGCGGTACGCTCCAATCAAACTGAATATCCCCCCTTAGCATATTATTCTTGAACATTCATTGACTGCCAACGTCGCTGGCATAGGCTAGAAAAGCAATCGTCGCATTGTGCAGCTGTCCGTCATGACGCGCTCCGCAAGTTGTTGCCCGTGGTGGGGATCCGAAACAGCCCGCTGGACCTCCATCGTCCAGTCGTCCCAAGTCATGTCGGGATAGCACCGCTGAACATGGTCCAGCAGCTCCTTCTCTAGGCATGGGGCAATTCGGAGAAGCGCCTGGAAGTCCGTACCCCATTGCGTGCCGGCTTGCCAATGGCAGAACGCTAGGAAGACGCCTGCACCCGGGAAGGGGGAAAACACGCCAGTTGCAACAGTTGTGCAATGGACACGACCGGGGTCTTGCTAGGGCCACCGCGGCCCGCGGTAGAGCATCGCCCCAGCCGTGTTTTAGCAAAACACAGCGGATCAGCTACCCACCTACGTTCCTAAAGCCTAGAAGCATCCCCCGTGCTTTGTCTTCAGTATGCCGCCTCACCTTCCAGGGTATGCCGAGGGAGGTGCTTTAACGCGTCACTTCTGTCGTCTTCAGGAATCGACTCCAGCAGTTCCCTGTAGTTTATGAATGTAAAAAAATAGCCCGATTACAATCGCTCGTCACCAACGCGTCTGGCATGTGCACAGCTGTGGTTGTCATCTTTTGCATAAAGGGCTTCCCAAAGCTTTGGATTCTCAAAACCCACCTTGCACATCGTATCGCAGCACTAAAGTTTCCTAGCTCCTGCTCTCGTCTGCGCAAGATGTTCATGACATAAACATTCAGTATACCCCGGGCCAATGAAATTACATGAATTGCGAACATCAGGATGCTCGCATAATGCAAGCTTCCTTACCGTATATTGGGTTTGCGAGGTGCACTTGGGCAAGTGTAGCTTGTGGAACAGGGGTCATTTGCGACGGAGAACTGGGCAGTTGGGGAGCGAGGAGAGCCAACGTCCATGCTTATTTTCGTGTTGATGAGAATATGTTTAAGGAGTGCCTCCTTATATGATGTGCAGTTCCTTCCAAGCACGTGGGCTCAAGGCTTGTTTAGTGAAGAAGGCCTTCGTTAAAGCATTATGCGACTACAGCTGTTATTATGGAAATTTGGGTCCATGTACAAATACTTGTGAAGTTAGCGACAGCCGGATTCTGTTGCACAGTTCCGGTTGCAATCGTACAACGACATTTTGCTGTCAGCAGCTTGCTGCAGTCCAGCAACGCAACGTTTGCGTCTCAGGAACTTCTTCATTTTGGCCTTACAGGAATGTTTCAGCAGAACCCATTGCTTGTGTCGCGGATGTCGTGGAATGTGAACGCGCTTTGCGGAGAGTGGACGCACTAGGGGTGGTCACCTCGTGTCGCGCAATTTTGGTGCTTTCTGCTCAAGGGTCGCTAACATCCTCGACTTTTCAAGCGTGCGAGCTGGTAGGTCCACCTAGCCTATCCAAGTTCATCTATCGATACCGTTGCAGCTAAGCTTCTCCAAAAGACGTGCACGAGGAGAGTATTCCATATTAATACTTTTTATCCCACAATGCAGCTAGATGAATTTGATGACCCGGCAGTTCCATTTTCTGGGCTCGTCGCGCTACCAACAGCCGCGGCAGCGGAGGTAGCATTTTGCGTTTCGTGGCTCGTGTACATCTGGGGCCGCGCAGCGCTGGCAGGCATTCACCCACAGGTGGGTCTATCGACGAGTGTAGCAAAGGTGCAAATTGGGTGTTGATTAGCCTGTTGACTGGCCAACAGTCCGTTGGCCCAACTAGAGAGGGACAAGGGACGGTGCCCCTACTTCCCCTGCCATTCGTAGCATAAAGACAAAACTAGCGTGACGCCCTTGTTAAACTAAGTCCGCTGACCCAGCTGTTCGGATTATCCAGGTTTCGCAGGATCAGGCCGAGCAGTGGGCGTCGAGGATGCAGAGACCTGCCTCGCTCCAAGATTTCGCCGACGTAGAACAGTCTTTCCGGGTGTGGATCTGTTGCGTCCGTCATTTACATCATTTTGTATCAGTCATCTCTCATTTTTCCATGCAGGAGCTGGACATCCTGGGTATCGAGGAGCTTCTTTGGAAGGGGCGATAAATTGCCCCAACGCCCAACTCGTGCAACGTCAGGCGAAGAGTGCTTATGCGTGGCATTGTCAAGTCGTACGCATAGAGAAGATCACGTGTTAACAATCCCAAGGCCGCATGACAACTGCCGCGGATTTCCATATGCAAATAAACGTACCACCTAGCTCAGTCATTGGGCTGCCAAGCTGTAAATCGACCGCCTTCGGTTGCCCAACATGTGTACGGGTCCACAGAGTGCAAAAGTATATTCGCAGCGATGCCCAACAAGGGTGCGCCCAAGGCGAGAAACGTTGACATGCCCAGGTGGAAACCAGAGCTGCTGAACGGCTCTACCGGGCAACCCAATGGCCTGTATATGCCTTCTCCCTCCTTTCTATCGAACCCGAGCAATGCCTACCCGTCCCTATCGAATCCGAACAATGGCTATCAAAGATGAAGACTCGGTTCTGTAGCCTCCTGCACAGCGCAGGAAGAGGTTCCCATGCGTCATTGCAACAGCCCACCCCAAGGCCTCATCCGGATGATGCAACCTGCGCTTTCTCAGCTGTCTCCGACGGCGGTTCCGTGTCCTTTTTCTCGGCCAACTGAACCTCAAGCTCCGCATTCCTGGCTTTAAGGAGAGCGTTTTCGTCCCTCAGCTGCTGAACCTCTTGAAGCAACACTGGGTTGTCGCCGACCTATATGGCGAAGACATAGGCAGACAGGTGCAGTTGTCGACTGGTGCAGCGACGCATGTCCTACTAGACTTGGACACCCAGAGGCAGCGGAAGCCACAAACGCATCCATAAGGCGTCAACGGGGAATGAAGGACAGAATACCTGTGTGTAGTACCGGTTTGCACTTCGCCACGCTCGGCAGATCGATCCGCTTTAGCCCTTAGGGCATGGCGTCACTTAAGCACACGCCGTTAATGGTGAAAAGCGGGTGCTATTGAATACTACGAGGACATCATATAAATCATAAAGGCAGTATCAAATGCATGGCTCAAACCAATATGGCCCCTAACTGAAACCTATGGATAATTTTGGCACGTATCTCGTCGCACAGTACATGGATAACACAAGGTCTGCTAACAAAGGAACTGCTCCCAGGTCACCCAGGGTCACCCACCAAATTGTTCGCCAGCGATTCAAACATAGGCATAAGTGCTTTGCCTGTCTCCGTTGCGACGGTCACAGCAGCTGACGCCGCTGCAGCAGCGGGACGTATCAACACACTGCCGGGCGTTGTCGTACCAGGGCGCGGTGTTGTAGGATGGCTACTGCCGTTAGTCGGCGGAGCTGTAACGGACCGCCGCCGCAGAGTCGCTGTAAAGCAACGGCAAGGTAGTGGTAAGCCAGGGGTCATGGTAAGTCCAGGGATTCACGACGTCACCGAAAACATCGCCTGTGATACACCGCACGCACTTTTAGGTGGAGGAACGGCGCAACCTACATGTGTTTGCGGTCGCATTCGCGGTCGCGGTCGCATTCGCGCGAGGGCTTTGATGCGCCTGCTCATCCGGGTCATACTTCTTAATCAGTGCCGCCGTACGTTCAAACCTCGTAGAGTCCTGCGCAAAGCAATCCATGGCAGTCGTCAGCAGCCCCATAATTGATGCGCATACCAATGGGCTGAAGTTTCTCAGGCGCCCCATATTCCAGGCACCATAACTTGCCCATACACACATACCCTCCTTGCCAATTGGCTCCCCGTGCTCATTGACCCCACGCGTGATACGAGCCAAATGCCTACCTTCAAATCCTTGATCATTTTTCGTTTAGCATCCATCAGCTTTCGCAAGAAGCGCTCGTCCCGCGCCTCGACGAACCGCAGGGACCATAGTACGCCCCTAAACAACAGTGCTGATATCAACGGCACTGCCCATGCTCCCAGGATGGTAACACTCTTCTGGTACCATCGCTGACTACCAACCTGCTGCAGCTGCAAACCCAGGCAAGTTTGCTCGCCATGACTTATGATCAGAACAGCCAAAGCTGCACCTCTGATCGCACACTTACGTACGCCGTCACAAGGATTGCGAGACACAGCCCCATGGCTGTGGTCCAGAAGCCGATATTGCTGCAGGCGTCCATGTTCTTACGGCGCTTGACACGCCGGTCCTGCGGGTTGATTCAGGGTTTCATGCGCCGCATCGGTTAACATTCATGTACACTTTGAATTCAAGCCTTTCCCTATATAATGGCTTGAGCTGTTTGAGTGTCCCGTCTGTCGTTGGGGACCGATAGCCTAGATTACCTTTAAACCTTACTCACCAGCACCCTGGAGCTCTCCTTTTCTAAGCGATCAAATGCCTTCTCGTAGTTCGCATAGTAAGTATTGGTCCCAGTGCGAGATAGGATCCCACCCATGGTGTTTGATGGTTATGATTTTCTGAAGCCCGAGCAGATGTAAACAATTTCTATGGAGACTAATTTAAATAGAGCATAGCAGAAAAGATTAAGGCAGGAGCAAGCATAGAAGAAGAGCTTTCCTACTCAAGTCTTAACTACCTCAACCGTAGCTGCCACTGCCCTGTCATCACTCTATCATATCCTGAAGGATATTTAGAAAAGAATTGCTCAAAGGGTAAGGCGACGCTTAATCAAGTTTATATGGAAGTTAAGTTACGACAATCGGAATTCTGCATGGTGACTGACGAATTCCCCTGGGCACCACGTTAACAGGGTTATCTTGGATTGGAATGGGTCGATACATGAAACGTTTGCTGGCATATACTGGCCGACACTTTTATTAACTGAACCTGAATTGTAGCAGTCGGCTCGATGGCGGAGGTGCTGCGCGGCTTCCTCACGCGTTTCCCTGGCGCAAGGGATGAGCCAGGATTAGCAGAGGTTCTTGCCCAACAGGTAAGCCCGCATCGGAGTCTCCTGTCCCACGGGCGGCGGTGGCGGCGCGACAGAGGAAGCGCCGGCACGCCCAACGACGCTTGGCCACGCTATTGCGCCAATACCATTACCCCTCTGCGGCGTTTTCACTTACAGGCATCACTAGACCAGGTGGCGACGGCGTTGGAGGCGTTGCTTGTCCAGCCTGTTTACACGCTGGCCCTGGGGGGAACCTTGCGCAGCTGCGGCTCGCTCCTTCGGCTCCTCAGCTTTCTCGTGGAAAGGAGACTCGCTTCAAGAGTCCCCTTGGTGGATGGCGGTTTTGCTACCATGTTGGTGACAGTGCTGGAGCTGGCGCCGCAGTGCGGAAGGTGTGCTCAGCCCTTTCCACCACATAGCCCACCGCAACTGAATCTGCCAGGGACCATGTTCCTAGCACTCACCACCATCACCATCCCTCGACCTCGACCCCGCCTAACCTCTACCCATTTGCACACCTGACATCAGCACGATCCGGCTGACGCCGGCCTTACCACACCACAGCGCACCACATTGGCAGCGAGTCCCATCACAACAGCACCTGACGATCGAGCCGCCGCGTTGAACGCTTTCGCGCTGCCGTGCAGTGTCGTCCAGCGCTATTTGGAAAGCGCAACACCCCCGCAGGAGCTGGTGGGCCGCAGCGCTTCCACCGGCCGCACCCCAGCGGACTCGGATCTGGTCTTCACGGCGCTGCGGGCCCTGCAGCTGCTGCCGGTGCTCCGGCGGCACCCCTCCTGGGCCGCTGGGCCGTTCATGCGCCTGCTGCATCACCAGGTGACTCCGGGACAACAGCCGGCGGGTTAGGCACGTTTGTACGACGACGGTTAGAACGGCGGTTGGGAGTTGACAACTCGCAAAACCCGCATGGAAGTCATGATAGGAGCATGCCAGAAGGCACATGGGCAACTGGCGCGGGTGTTAGAAGGAAATGAAGGAGCTTGGGCAATGCCAATTGAGAGCGCTGACGGGGCAACGGTGGCTGGTACCGCGCCGCGTGTGGCCGGCTGCTTCAGGACGTTATGCGCAGGTTACCTTTTTTTATTGTCACAAAAGCTTGGATTGAGCTTCAACTCCTACTGCTTTTGCCTCCGCGGCGCCCCCGTCCTGTCCTGCTGTGACAGGCGTCCGAGGTCCGCTGGGCTGCGGTGCAGGCTGTGGCGCTGCTGCTTAACATGGTGCGCATCGCCATCGCCCAAGCTTTGGATGGGGAACTTGATGCTGCATGGCAAACAATGCAACATCGGGCCGTTCGGGATAAGCACGCCTGCCGTACCAATTCTCTTGCAAGTTGACAACACAACACCACACTACGCAACAAGGGGGGATCGGTCTACAGGTGTCTGTGCTTGCCTGCGCCGTATATCTGTTAAATAATATGAGCGCCTCCGGTCCGGTGCTTGCCAGCACAAACAATCCATCGGCTGCCGCACACGGGGCTTGGCCTGGCACGGCCTGATTGACCAAGAAGTATCCCTGTTGCCTACGTTGGAAAAAAGCTTGTCCAGCTACTCCACAGCAGTGAAAGCAATATAGTGGTGCGGGTTACGCGATATTAGTCCAAACGACCAAACCGCACCTCGCCACCCTATCTGGGGTCCTCCTCGCGTCCGGTGCATCGCTGTTGTCCCTGCTGCTGCTGCTGCTACTGCAGAGCGATGCCAGTCGCACAGCGCTGGCGGGGCAGCTGATGGCGCCCGGACATCAAATCTCGGCGCTGGCGTCCTGGCAGGCGCAGCGCAACGCAGTGGCACTGGAGCAGGCGGCCATGTGGCTGCACGTGCCTTCGGCATGTGAACACTGCCGCAGCAGCGAACAAGCCGCCGCGACTGCCGCGAGCGGGCAGGAACTTGCAGCCGCCGGCGGCGGCGCTGAAGCCGCCGTTCGGTGGGCTGGCGGCTCCGCCGCCGCCGCCGCAACCCTCTCCGTGGATCCTTTTGGTCTGCCCGTTGCGCGCGGTTTCGTGGAAGTGTGCGGGATCGAACTCGCATGTCGGGATACAGAGGAGGCAGTCGCCAATGCAGGTCCTGGGCCTCCGGCGACCCCGGCAGCGGACGCCGCCGGCAGTGACAGCGGCGGCCACTGTTTCGTCGCCACGGAGACCGTCCGCCGTAACCTGGAGGCGGCCGCCTTGGTGCTGTGCCAGGGGCTGCCGCTGCTGCTGGAGGGGCCGCCGGGCGCCGGCAAGACGCGGATGGTAGAGGAGCTGGCGGCGCGGACGGGCAATGGCAGCAGCATGGTGCGGGTGCATCTGGACGACCAGATGGACGCCAAGAGCCTGCTGGGTGCGTACGTCTGTACGGCGGTGCCGGGTGAGTTTGCTTGGCAGCCGGGGCCACTGACGCAGGCGGTTTCGGAGGGCCGTTGGGTGCTTGTGGAGGATATTAATATGGCGCCTGGCGACGTGCTGGCGGCGCTGGTGCCGCTGCTGGAGTCGCGCGTGCTGCACGTGCCTAGCCGTGGCTTAGTGGTGCCGGCGTCGCCGGGCTTTCAGATCATCGCGACGGTGACCAGCGCTCCCGCCGCCAGCGGCGGCGGTGCTGGTGGCGGTCACGGAGCGTACGGCATGTCAAATATGGTCAAGGTAAACAAGGGCCCTGGCGCTGCGGGGTCTCAAAACGAAGATTATGCCCTGGCAAAAGTGTTGGGTTGGAAGTAAGGTTGATAGCCGCGTGTGATGGCGCGTCCTTTTAATCGTTGCCACGGCGGAGGCCGTTGTTTGTAACGCATGCGGGTGGGCACAAGCCGTTGCAGCTGCCGGCGAGTCCTGTATATCATGTGCCGTCATGCCCTGTTCTCACGGCGTTCAACGCTTGCTGTTCTGGTTCACTGCAACACGACGTCTAGGAGTTGCTGGGCGGTCTATGGCGCACAGTACGCGTGGACGCTCCTACGGATGCCGAGCAGATGGCGATGCTGGGGACCGCGTACCCGCAGCTACTGCCAGTCCTGCCCGCCGCGGTTGGGACCCTGTGCCTCGTCCAAGCTGCTGGAGGCCACGACGGGATGGCTGTAGCTGGCCGCGGGGAGGTGTCTCTTACAGAGCCGGTGGCGGCGCCGGCTGGCTTTCGGCTCACAGCGACAGGGCCCCAGATGTCGGGTGCCGTCAGCGGCGAAGGGGGGCCGATAGCTGGCCAAGAGAGTTTGCAGCGACGGCGCGGCGCGTGGCACGCCTTGGCGGAGGCGGCCTTGGAGGCGGCGGGGCTGAAGCGCGGTGCGCTTACGTTGCACCTGGGCCGGCATTTCTCCCTGCGGGACGTGTTTAAGTGGTGCAGACGCATGATGGTGGGTGGGCGAGTGGGTGGGTGTTGGGTGGAGCCGCTGTGAAAACGCCAGAGCGATTCACACATCCGTTAACATCCCCAGCAACGGCGGTCTGGTCCTCACTATCACACGTAGTTCTGATGCCGACTCGGGGCGGGGGCATCCTTCGTATTGCCCAGTGCGGGTTACTTTACAGTAATGCCGGCACCCCCGCCCCCAAAAGAGCGCTCCTCTGGCTGTTAGGATGAGGTAGCTGCGGTGTGGCTATTGTTGGTGCGGCACACCCATAATACACACACCCAGACTTTTGTGCAGGATTTTCCTCCGGAAGGGCAGGAGACGTGTCTGGAGACGTGCCTAGTGATCTGCGCCATTTAACCCAAAGGCTGAATGTCCTCTCGCCTCTCTATGCATTGCCGGTGTTCCTTCCCTTTCTCCCCGGCCCCCACAAACGCCCTTCAGCACCTCCACGAGGCCCAGCTGCGCATTCGCTCCTACAGCCAGCTGCTTAGGGCGCAGCGGAAGGCTGCGGAGGCAGCAGCCACCAGCGGAGCCGACCAGCAGCAGCTGGTTGACTTGTCCTCCATTGACCCACGGGTCCGTGAGGCGGCCTTTGTGGAGGCGGCGGACTGCTTCGCGGCCCTGGTGGCACGACCGGAAGCGCGAACTAAACTGCTCAAGGTGACCTCCATTCGTGCGCTTTCCTGAACTGGATTGAGAGTCCGATTGGAGGAAAAGGCGTTTCGTTGCAGAGGAGCCTAGCAGATGAAATTGTTCCTCGTATTCCGCATTTAAATTGCTAAAGTAACGTAGACCGCCGCGTGGCCAGGCATGTGTTGCGAGTTTCGCGAGGTTACCGTACGACTGCCGCGAGACTCGCTGTGCGATGTTTTTTATTGGAGAGCAAAGCACGCAGCAGACCCTGAGAGCGTGGCGAATACCTAGGCCAGCGAGAGGGGCAGGAGTGAAGGGCCGACCCGACTCTTATTGCCCTGACACAACCCATATTGAACCTGGGGGAGTTGGATGCGGCGTTCGACGCTTCCTCGCAGCGTTCATGTACAAGGGTGTTGGGAAGTCATCGATGTCCTGAATCCTCATCTTGGGGGAGAGCCTCATCTGCTTCAACGCCCCTTCTGTTCGTGGGTCTCTGTTGCTCTGTTGCGTCGGAGCTTAGGCACTGGCCGCGCTGTGGTGTGTCTCCGGCGGCGCCGCGGAGCAGTGGGAGCAGTTGGCTAAGCCGCAGCTGTCGGTGGTGGAGGCCGGCGGCGAGCGGCAGCTGGTGGTGGGGCGGGTGGCGCTGCCCATTGCGCCGGGGCAGCAGCAGCAGCGAGACATTGCAGCGGCGGCTGCAGGTCAGGTAGGCAGAGGACTCGGCAGTAGAAGTCGTGTTTGGGCGAAGTCGTGTTTGGGCGGGGCACATGGGGGGGAAGGGAGGGTAGGGAATGCACAGACACAGCTGGATTCCTTAATGCATGACGTGTACGCCAAGCACCTCCCAAAGCGCTTGAGGTGTCTGGCGCAATGCCAAACGGTTGGCCAGCCAGGAATGAGTGGTAATGGGTACGGCTTTGTAGTGCTTTGGACTCTCTTAGATCGGGACTGGGACTGGGATGGGGCAGGGCCATGACATGGGCTTGGCTCTTGTTCCCGGGGGTTTGGGGGTTTGTAATTATAATGGTGGCATTGTTGTCAACCAGTATATGCCGTCGCATGCGCAACATATAGCAGCTGGACCGGGTTGAAGCGGAGTTGCGGCCCTGCTCAACACGCCTCCCTGCCGCGCTTGCAAGGACGTGTGCGTGTGCATATCGTTTATTGGTTTGGTGCTGAACTGATGGCGGGCAGTGTGCGGGTGCGCTGTCGACGCGCAGGGCGGAAGCGGCGGCCTCGGCACCTTTGCTCGTACTGGACATGCGCTGCGGGTAATGGAGCGCATTGCTGCGGCGCTCTCTTGCAACGAACCCGTACTGCTGGTGGGCGAGACAGGTAAGCCCAGGGGTTGCTCTGTTTAGGAGGGGGGGAGGGCGGGTGGGCATGCGTGTGCGCGTGCGCTTCTAAGGGGTTTTAGATACAAGCGGCACGGACAAGAAAAGCAGGGACACCTTTTCCCACTGTAACCCCCTCAGGGCACGTGCTGCTGCCTTTGTGGCCTCGGCCGCACCGGTGCACGTGAATAACATATAGCAGTGTGAGGAGCTCAGCAGCTTCACCTGGTGTGCACATAGGCCCCTCTTGTTCATTCCTTCTCACCACGAAGCCCCCATTGCCGCGCAACAGCAGCAGCACCACCACCACCGCCTCCCGGGCGCCCGCCTCTGGTTTGCCTGGTCTGATCTGGTCTGTTGGGCCCCTTGAGCTGTTATGCGTCCTGGGCGTCACCATCGGCCCCTTGGCGCAACACCGCAGGCACCGGAAAGACCACCATGCTCTCCCGCATGGCGACCCTTGTGGGCGCGCAGCTGGTGTCATTTAACCTGAGTCAGCAGACGGACAGCTCAGATCTGCTGGGTGGCTTCAAGCCCGTGGAGCCCCGAGACGCGCTGGCGCCGCTGTTGCCCACCTTCACATCGCTCATTAGGCGCACATGGACGAGGTGAGTCGGTCGGCCAGGGGCCGCCGGCGTGATGAAACGGTTATGCCGAAAAAAAGAGCTACAAGAACCATTTCTCGCAGATACGACGGCTTGGATGGCTGAGTAGTAGTAGTAGTAGTAGTAATAGTAGTAGTAGTAATAGTTAGCGGGTGTTGGGGCGTGAGGCACGGATAGGGAATGCTGGGGCATGTACGCGGCTTGGGGCCTAGGACGTGATGATGATGGTATGTTTGTAGAAACAAAAGATCCAGACTTGCATTTTCCTGCATTTTTCTGTTGCGCATAAGCTGCAGCCCTACTTCAATGTCATCCAACAAGGGTAGTTGTGGAAAGTATTTTCCTCGGCTGATTCGCAGGGGCAATAATGATGAGTACCTGGCGCGTGTGGCGAAGCTGGCAGAGCGGCGCAAGTGGTCGCAGCTGCTGGCGGCTTTCCGCGGCGCGCTGGCCAAGCTGCACGACGCTGGGTTGGTGGCGGGAGCCGCCAATGGCGGCACCGGCGCCGACACAACGGCAGCCGAGGCGGCGGCAGACGCTGCAGCGGAAGCAGCCGCTGAGAAGGGCGGCAAGCCGGCCAAGAAGCGGCGGATGGGTGGATCCCAGCAGCAACTCAGCGAGACACTACGTCACGAATGGCGGGTGTTTTCGGCGGTGAGTGGTGCGCTGGCGGGATCGTGGAGCTGTGCGCGGGTGTCGAGGGGGAAGGAGGGTGGCCAGAGGGGACTTAAAGAAGGAATGCAAGAGGTGTAGTGTAGTAGAGAGGAGGGATGACCCGCATGACCTCCTATCTCCTGTGGAGGAGCCAACTTGTGACTCGAAAAGTACCCAACGGCGGATGTCAGATGCCGTGAGACGCACAGGATGCATCATAATCCCGCCTCCATCGATATTTGTTTACATCCCTTCATCATCAAGCGCTGCTGTCGCGCACAGCTTCCAGTAAAGACCTTCCTTGGATGGAGGCCTTCGTCTTGGCTACTTGGCTGACCGGTTGGGACATTATTATTATGACCCCTCAGCACCTGGAGGGTGTATGGCTGTCTGTGTTCTACGTTATCCTCGTGTTCAGCGTTCGGCGGTTGCTGGTCGGGTGTTGTTGTTTGCAGGACATGGCCGCAGCGGAGCGCGCCGCCGCTGTGGCGGAAGGCGGCTTTGCCTTTGCTTTTGTAGAAGGCATCCTGGTCAAGGCACTGCGCAACGGCTGGTGGCTACTGCTGGACGAGATTAACTTGGCGCCAGCGGAGGTTCTGGAGCGGCTCGCAGGGCTGCTGGAAACCGCCGGCGGCGACTCATCGGCGGCGCAAGCTGATGCTGCCGGCGGCGGTGGCAGCGGCGGCAGCATCACGCTGTTGGAGCGCGGCGACACGGTTGCCGTACCCCGCCACCCGAATTTCCGTTTGGTCGCCGCCATGAATCCCGCTACCGACGCTGGAAAGCATGAGCTGCCGGCGGCGCTTAGAAACCGATTCACGGAGATGTGGGTTCCGGAGCCGGCGGCGCGGGAGGACCTGGCGGTGCTGGTGGCGGCATACCTGGCTGGCGTGGGGGCGGCGCCTCCTGTGGACGCGGTGGTGGACTTTTACCTGGCGGCCAAGGCCGAGGCGGTGAGAAGGGCCCCGGTCATGGAGAAGAAAGCGACGAGAACTTGCAACAAGCTTGCTGAGCTGTGGCATGTGCCTTAGGGGGGCGTGAAGGGGGCGACCCCTTGGGGTCGGATCGTAGTTAGCGGCTCTTACGGCTTGCGGCGGGGGGCCTCGGCTAATAAGAGAAACGGGAAGGGAGCTGTAGCGAAGTCTTTGAAGGGAGGCTACACGTGGCAGCTACAGCGGGGCGGCAGCAGCAGCTGCAGTTGCTTGGCACAGGTTGCTGTGTCGCACCTCCTGGACTGATTCCGAGGTTTGGTTGGGGGGCCCTGGGTACCGGAGGAGGGCACCGCAAGAGCCGCTTTGCGGGGGGCCTTGAGTCAAGGATGTTGCTCTGTGTGACTTTGTGTCGTGGAGTCTCCCGATCGAATGAGGGACTAGGACTTGGCTTCCTGTTTCAT